CCCGCGGCCGCCCCCCGGATAGGCCGCGGCTGGCCCGTCGCCCGCGCTGCCCTCGGCCGCTCCGGCCCCTCGGGCTCCCCGCCGACTGGGCGCCCCCGCCCGCTCTCCCGGCCTGCAGGGCGCTGGCCTCGCCCTGCGCGCCCGTCACCTCCTCTGGGCAGCCCTCCGGCGCCTCCCATCAGCGTGTCCACGGCGGCCTCGGCGGCTCACGGAGGCCGAGCGGGCGGGCGGCCGGCCCTTCCCCAGGGAGCCCGGGGCGGCCCGCCGCTCCCCTCCGCAGGCACCTCCCGGGGCGCCGCGGCCCAGGCGGGGGTCGCGCAGGGGGGCGCCGGGGTGGCGGGAGGGCAGGGCAGTCGCAGGATGCGTCCCCGGGGCCGTGGGGACCCAGGGCAGGGCTCTGCGTGGGGGCCGTGGCTGGGACAGCGCGGGGAGGCCGGGCCGGGGCGCCGGGGAGCCGGGGAGCCGGGTCACAGCGGCGGCCGCCGCCCCCCAACCCGCCCCGGGGTCCCCGCCAACGCGCGCTCGCGGGGAGCGCCCGGGGCGGGAGCGCGGCGCGCCGGGCCCGCGGCAGGTGGCCCCTCCCCGCCCCCCCTCCCCGCCCCGCCCCGCCCCGCCGCTGCCCGCGTCCCCATTAATCACGCGGCGCTGACGGCGCGGATGTGCGCGCGGGCGGCGGACGGGGACGGGGACGGGGACGGGGCCGGCGGGTGACGGAGCGGGCAATCGGCGGGCGCCCATCGGCCCATCTTATCGCGCCGGCCCAGCCGCCGCCCGCCGCGCGCCGCCCATTGATCGCGCGGGCCGGGGCGGGGGGTCAGCGCGGGCCGGGCCGGCCTGACAGCCGCATCCATCGCCGCCCAGACGCGCGCTGAAGGCGGCACGGGCGGCGCGGCCGGGCCATTAATCACCGCGCCTGCCGCCAGTGACGGGGATGGCGACGGGGCCGGCCGGCCGCCAGCCTGCACCCCCCCACCCCCACCCGCACCCCCCCACCCCCCACCCCCACCCCGACCGGCCCACCCTTCCCCAGCACCGGGCCTGCTGCGCGGCTCCGCACACCCTGGGCAGGCACCCGGGGGCCCGCCGGCAGGGGTGACTGGGCGGGGGAGAGGGGAGCGCCCAGCAGGCGGGCCCAGGTGGACACTGTCCCAGGAGACCGAAAGGGAGGCTTGGCCTGGCCGAGCCCTGGCTACTGCTTGGCTGGAACCGGGGCGCTGCTACTTGTCCCCTCGAGCCACTCCAGCCCTGGCTGGGCCTCGGGGGATGTGAGGGGCAGCACTTGGGTTCTGCAAGCTGTGGACACAGAGGGAAAAGCTCATGTCTTGGCCACTTCTCTCCTCTGCTCTAGACCTTGTGGCCCTGAGCAGGAGCTTGTCCCTCTGGGCCTCAGAGAAGGGTCCAGAAACCTGGGATTTCTAGGCCTTTCCAAGGGCCCACTGCCTGAGGTAGGGAGGGGTGGGGCCCAGCCAGCTTCTGCCTCCTGTTGGACAAACTATCTTCTCTTCTCCCAAGTGGGGTAAGGCTTGGGAACTCTGCCGAATTTTAGTACTTGGCATGCATGATGCAGCCACATAGCACCTCACCATGTCCCCACATCCATCTAATGGGATACAACTGCCCCCCCCTTATAGATGAGGAAACCTAAGCTCAAAGGATCAGAAGAGAGGAGGCCTCATCAGGACCAAGGAAGGGCTAAACCCAATCAAAACAACATCCCTGTCGTCCATGTGCCCAGAACCTGGCTGCTCCTGTCCCGCACCTGCCACCAGTCTGGGACCCCTTTAAGAGCAGGAGGGACCAGCTGCGCATCTCCAGGACTGGCCCTGGGGGCGCGCAGAGAACTGCGGCGGGGTGGCCAGTTACTGCTTTCCTGGCCAAAAGCCCACGGACCCTGGGGTCAGATATGGAGACCAGCAGGGAGCACACCACCACTGGGCAGCTCGGTTATGTTAGAAAAACGTTGAGGAAGGTTTGCTCGCCAAGAAGTCCTTTTCTGGTGCGACACTTCCATCTATCTGTTTAGTCCTAAAAAACACAGCATCGTTTTAAGCAGTCCAGGGAGAACACCCTAAGAGGCGTGGTGGTGAGCAGGCATCTGGGCTGCAAAGCAAGGGCTGGGGGCAGGACTGGGGGCAGGGCTGGGGGCAGGGCTGGGGGCAGGACTGGGGGCAGGGCTGGGGGCAGGACTGGGGGCAGGACTGGGGGCAGGACTGGGGGCCCGGGTCTTCCAGGAGCCCTTCCACATTCCTAGGCGTCTCTGCAGCTTCAGGGCCATTAGCCCAAGAAGGGAGCTGGGATTTACATGCAAACACTCCTTCCCCTCGGAGCCCAGTGGGCTTGCCAGGGGAGGCCAGAAAGCCAGGGCCCAGAGCCTGGAATAGCAGCAGCCTCTTCTATGACCAGCCCCCACCCTGACTCACTTTAATATTACAACAATTTTTCACGCCAGAGCTGAAATAGTGCAAAAAATGGGGCTGCTGTAATTGTTGTTAGATTGCGTGTCAGCCTGATAAGATGTAACAAATATTTTCCTCCCCACCAGGGTCTGTTTCCCTCTTGGTAATGGATGGAGAAACTTCTCATAGTCGGCGAGGGATTGGTTGTAAAAACTTCGCCTGGAAGATTAATGTAATAATCACAGGCCTTGCTGGAAAAAATAGGAGGAAAATTAAAATAACCCAACCTTCCTACCTATCCAGAACCATCTCCCTCACTGGAGCACAGATGAGCGAGGTGGGCCAGCTCCCTGAGCACCGCCAGGGCCAGGATCCCTGAGGAGCAGGACCAAGGGGCTATGACCACACACCCCCTCCTCACCAAGACTGCTCTGGTCATCGGGGATCCCTGAGCAGCTGCAAGGACTGTCCTAACCTGTGCCTTTGACGTTTGCCAGCATCACTGCCACTAGCCTGCTCCTCAAATGCTGTGGTGGAAGGTTTGGGGGCTGCGGGAAGAGATCCCTCTGGGGCAGAGCCACTGTCCTCACACCTGACCCTGATCACCTCACCTGTCTGCTACAGGGCTCGGACTGCAAAGGCCTTGCCGACCACTCACACACTGAGGCAGGTGGTATGGCCAGGGGTGATGAGCCCGGAGTCTAGCCAGTCTAACTAAATCCTGGTTCCACCTCTTACTAGCTAGGCAGGTAACTAAACCTGCACCACTCTCTTAGGGCCACGGGGCCACCGTGAGAACACGGAAACGGAAAGCAGTGACACAGGCTCTAGTACTTAATAGCTCTTGCCACACTTTAGATGTGTGATTTCTTTTTTTTTTTTAAGATTTTATTTATTCATGAGACACACAGAGAAAGAGAGAGGCAGAGACGCAGGGAGAGGGAGAAGCAGGCTCCATTTAGGGAGCCCGACGTGGGACTCGATCCCTGGCCTCCAGGATCAGGCCCTGGGCTGAAGGCAGTGCTAAACCACTGAGCCACCCGGGGTGCCCATGATTCTTCTTTACTCATGTGCCTTGAGGTGGGAGGAACCAGACCCAGACACCAGCAGAAAGGACATGGGCAGCCGGGCAGGCTGCAGTGCTCAGCCGGGACTTCAGGAAGCGTCCCACCATCCCCCCAGCAAACTTGGGTCTCCTCACCGCCCTCCAAGACCCCATGGGGGCACTTCCCTCAAGGGCCAGGCCACAGAAGATCCAACAGGGACTGGCAGGGGCTTCCTGAGGGCAGAAGTGTGGCAGGGAACTCTTGGAGGCCCTAGATCGACGCCCACAGCATGACCTCAGCCCTCTTGCCTGCCGCGTCCCATACATGCTCAGGTGGGCTATCACTCCTGGGACACCAGTAGCGCCTGCCCCACAAGGCCCTCATGGCTAACTGGGATGCAAGCCCTGACTGAATCAAGATCCCTGTCTTGGTTGGTTCCCTCTCCTGCACATTAAGAGCACAGAAACCCTGCCCATGTGGGCAGAGCACCAAATGATGAGCCTTTACTGAGGCTTGGTGGCTACGCCAGATGACAAGGACCAGACGGGCAGAGGGAGGGAGCTGTGGCTCATCCTAGCAGACGGAATGTTCCACTGCGGTGTCTGTCAGGGCTGCCATTTCCCTTCCTCTCCAGGGGCTGAAAGCCCCACTCGGTGGACAAACGTGTCAGAGGGACACAGGAGCCAACCAAAAGAGCGCTCAATGGTCAAAGACAGAAAATAACAGTATTGGATTATAACCCCAAGTATATACGTATCCCTGATCCATACTGATATGCACGATGGAGTAAATACACAAATGGGAGAGAATGGGGAGAACAGATCCCTCCTGTACAGAATCCCGGAGAATTTATGTAGATACCCTGGCTTTGGGGAGAGGGAGCAGGGGGGTGCCTGGGCGGCTCAGTCCGTTACGCATCTGCCTTGGGCTCAGGTCATGATCCCAGGTCCTGAGATCGAGTCCCGTATCGGGCTCCCTGCTCAGCAGGCAGCCTGCTCTCCCTCTGCCCCTCTCCCCCATTAACCCCGGTGCACTCTCTTTCTTTCTCTCAAGTAAATAAATAAAATCTTAAAATAAAAAAGAGAGATGGAGCGGAACTCCCCAGCCTTACACGGGGGCTGTATTTAGGACTCCTTCCAAAGAGGACAATACGTTGGGGGACAAGAAAAACCTGACGCCCAGTACCACAGCCAGGGGCCTGCGGCCTGCTGTCAACAGCCTGAGGCCATGCTGACACACACACACCCTCGATGCGGTGTGACAGCAATGGCACCACACCTCCGTGGTCTGCCAAGAACCCACGACCCCAGGTAATTGTGAGAAAGACATCACCAAACCCCGCTGAGGAACTTGACAGCGCTCCTCCACCAGCAGGTCAGCAGAAACCATGATTGGGGAGGGCCCCACAGATTAACCCCAGCTCATCAGACGGACAGTACAGTAGGACATTAACCAGGCAAAGCGGGGCCTCCCTGTATGGTCTTCACAACAATCCTAGAAATCTATATCTGTTCTAAAATACAAAGTTTATTTTTAAAAAATTAAGAGAAACAGGTAATCAAAATAACCTACAAGACTTTATTAGAAAACACGCCAGGTGAGGCAGGGTTCCTTCAAAGCCACTGCAGAAGTTACGATAATTTATAAAGACCCTTTCCCCACTGGTGGTGCCGCCAGCCACTGCCGCAGGGGGACAGAGCTGAGCGCAGTGCGAGCCCCCCGCCCACAGGCTGCACCCAGCCAAGCCCTCCAGGTGTCTCTCGAAGGGAACCTTGGCTGTCTCACTTCATGTACTTATCCTGCTGGTCAGCCAGGATCTTGGCCGAGGACTTGGCATCGTAGAAGAGCTCACTGATCTCCTCGACGTGCTCTTTCTCGATGCTGTCCTTCCCATTGATCTTAGCCAGCAAGTTGGCGGGGGTGAGCAGCTGCACGGAGTACCTGGAGTGACAGCGGCCAGGGCAGGAGTGAGAAGCCCCCTTGCTACACCAGCAAGACCAGTTGTCGCGACCCCATCAGGAGGGCCACAGGTCACCAGCATGACACATCATAGCCCCAAATCTCAGTCAGTGTACAAGTTCTCTGACAGGCTGCAACTGCACTGCTACATGAAAGAGGCCACAGGGGCGTCTGGCTGGCTTAGTCGGTAGAGCATGCAACTCTTGATCTTGGGGCTGTTTGAGCCCCGTATAGGGGGTAGAGGTTACTTAACAATAAAATCTTTCGGGGGCACCTGAGTGACTCAATCAGTTAAACATCCAACTCTTGGGATCCCTGGGTGGCGCAGCGGTTTGGCGCCTGCCTTTGGCCCAGGGCGCGATCCTGGAGACCCAGGATCGAATCCCACATCGGGCTCCCGGTGCATGGAGCCTGCTTCTCCCTCTGCCTATGTCTCTGCGCCTCTCTCTCTCTCTCTCTGTGACTATCATAAATAAATTTAAAAAAAAAACTAAAAAAAATAAAATAAACATCCAACTCTTGATCTCAGCTCAGGTTTTGATCTCAGAGTCATGAGTTCAAGCCCTAGGTTAGGCTCCATACCCAATGTGGAGCCCCCTTAGATAGTAAGTAAAATATTTAAAAAGGGGGTGGGGGGACACAAACTGTGGTACACACAGGTGCAAGCCAAGTGAACATGGCAGGCAGATGAACAGCCAAAAAAGGCACCTTCTCCCTGCAAAGGCATGAAACTCAGAGGAGTTTTTAAAGCCCTGTTCCCCCAAATAAAACAGCTTGCAATTCTGCTTCAACCTGGAGCAAGGAACAGACTCAAAGGAAAACAGGGAACTAGGGACTGGTTAGGGGCTATGAGATCAGTCAGGACACTGAGAGGGGCATCATCTGCATAGGCAGTTGGCTTTGGGCCACTGGTGAAGAGTCAGGAGAGTAATCTGTGTCCACATTCCTCCTTCCCCCTCCCCTAAACCCATTCCCACCCTCTGCACCATGAAGAGCCCCTGGCCAGTGAGCCGTCTGCTTTCGACCCTGATCTCCGGATTGTCCATCTCCTCCACCACAGAGGCTGGTAAGCTCTCCACACAGGGGACCATCTGCTCCGGGACAGGGGACCTAACCTGTCACTCTAGCTCTATAAGCACCATCACCTAAATATTCTGCATTCTAAATCACAGTGCCTAGGACAACCTCCGTCAAAGCAGTGAGAGCAGACGTGGTCCTGTGCCTTGTGAGAGGGACCTCCCTTTATGCCCCAGAATAGGTCTGACGGTGGCCCCAAAGGGCTGCTGGGCAGGCACCAGCAGGTGGGGAGCAGCTCTAGGCAGATGTGCTCACCTCAGAGTCGTCTTGGTACCAATCTCCCCCAGGTGGTTCAGTGCCTCCTCACTGATGTTGATTCCTTCTGTCTGGGCTCGGATTTTAATGATCTTTTGGAGGAAAAAGACCATGATCAACAGTGACCAACCAAGTGTCCCCTTTAACATGTGCTTTAAAAACAACTTTGTCCCATGTGTCTTGTCCTGCATCATCGGTGCCAAAGAGGCCCAAATCCAGGCTGAAAGGGCAGAGAGCTGGCCTCCGCCCAAGACTCCTGGCCTTGCACACATCCGGGCACTAGCCACACGACATTCTGTGTGAATGGCTTACAGCCAGAGTTCACAGTGACTAGAAGGTGGCTGGTACCCCTCAAAGCATGTGCCAGGGTGGCTCAGTGCCTGCCTCCTCAGCCTCCCTAATGCAGTCCCTAGATCTAGAGAACACAGGCCCCTCCGAAACCTGCCATGGGCTCCCCCTCAAGGGCTCTAACCTTCCTCCCCAGCATGGCACCACCACCTACAAGCACTCAGGGAAGAGACATCTTTTATTTGCTTGATAAATACGATGGTTAAATAAATCAAAAAAGTTACTTTTAAAGATTTACCAGCCCTCATAACATCACTCGGGGATATCTAATCTATCACGAAGAAGCTGATGCTTGTTGCAGTTTGAAGATCCTGGTGAAGTTGGAGGGGAGGCAAGCTGGCGGCGGGGCTGCTATAACACAAGTGGCACCGGGATCCTGCAGGCGCACCAGCACTGAGTGATAAGGGGCAGCTGGGATAATGATGTTGTGTGTTGGGGAGCCGAGATAACTCGAGGACTTCGAGCCTCATATAATACAGGAATTTTTCACTTTGGCAGCTTCGTAAACAAGATATCATGAAGCCCTTGTTTAAATTAAAGCCATAAAAACACCCGAGGTAGAGGCATAGGAAATGGGAAAGACTGAGCCCCTAGCAAAAGCCTTGTAAGGGGAAGACAGGGACCAGAGGCTTAGGAGCCGGACTCTGCACTAGCCCTGCGGCTCTCAGGCAGACACCTGTGGGGGCAGGCAGCTCAGTGTCTGGGAACTCTGGCGAGGGCACTTGGCATATCAGCTGCTGTGAATGGGAAAGTCCTGCTCCAGAGGAAAACCAGGATTCGCAGAACTGGACTAGGGCAGGGACCAAGATAGATGAGGCCACATGAGCCAGGGCAGTTGGCCCCTCTGCCGCAGGCCACTGGTGCCACCAGGGCAGAGGGCAGGTGTCCGCAGGGAAGTTTCATTTGGTCAAAAGAGACTCAGAACTTAGACTTCTGTGTGAAATGTCCCCAATTTCTAAATGTTGGCAACTTGTTCAAGTAATTCATAGAACTTTTCTGTTCAGCCAGTGGGCTGCGGGTACGACCTCTGTCAAGACTCTTAGCTTGTGCATGAGGAGTTCCACCGTCTACGGTTGAAAGCTAAATGTAGCCGAGAAGAGAGAAGTTACTGGATAGGCCTAAGGATGGCACAAAAAGGAGCTGAGAGAGAGATCCCTGCTCCTGGCTCCAATCACAGGACTCCTCTCTGACCACAACAGCCAGAGCCAGGTAGGTTTGTGCTCCAAGAGAAAAGGGCTTTTCACTGACAGCTGGGGATTAAGGAAACCTCCAGGTCCTGCCAAGAAAAATGTCCTCCAGGGGCCATCGGAAACTCTGAGATGCAAATACTGAATCTGGAGCCTGGTCAAGGGGAGAGCTTCAGCCCAGAGCAACTGGCCTTCAGCGAGTTGCACAGCATTTGAAAGTTGGGCTTCAGGAATGTAAGGGCCACTCCACATGCGCTCTTTCTCTCTCTCTCTCTCTCTCTCTCTCTCTCTCTCTCGGGAGGTCAGAGCAATCCCAAGAGCTCCAGTTTCAGACTGCTCAGAAACGGACAGTTCATAAATTAGATCTTTAATCATTTAATAACCTGCAAGGATAGTTTATGAGGGTGTCGGCACTGATGGCAGAGTACACAAGTTACATTTACTTTGTTTTTTAAAAAATCTACCTCAGGCTCCAGTAAAAATGCTGAGGTTATCCCTTGAACCCACCAGAACAAAGCAATGCACATCCTGGCAGCTGGTCTGACCTCTGCTCACATAAGAGAAAGCCTGAAAAGAGGCCCTCCTGATTGAGCAAAGATGGGAACCAGCCCAGGAGCCAGAGGCATACTGCAGAACAGTCCAGGAGAGCTCAGACCGAGCGCTCAACAAAGGTGAACTGGAGGCAACCAAAGTGAACTGGCTCTTAGTAGGGTCCCAGCTCAGCAGCTTATCTCTGTGACCACAGGACCCTCGTTGTTCGGGAGCCTCAAAGCCCAGTTACTGGGAGCTGCTGTAAGGCTCCCAGCAGGTGACAGTGAGCACCTATAAGTAATTAGTAGCAGTAATAATAGCTGCGCTGGGACAAAGGATGGCCAGCCTAGTCCCCTCCCTCCTGTTAGTCACTTAGTCCTCAAAACAACCTGGAAAAGAGAGAGCGGACCTTCCGGAGGACGAAGGCAGCCAAGGACCACACAGGTACGCCAATAGCTCAAGTCACTAGGCCATGAAGCACCGTGAGGCTGCCCTCCACGGTAAGGATGGGGATGTGACCAACCTCTCCTTTGCTTCTGCCTATGCTTCTGTTCAGTGAATGCCTTAGCTTCAACCTAGCATTCATTTAGGAGCCAGAGACCATGATCTGGTGACAAGGCTCCGGCCACGGCCACCCTGTACTGTCACCACTCTGGTGTTCTGTTGGTCTCCAGCTCCCTGCATCACCACAGTACTGGTGAGTGCTGGTCAAGAATAAACGGCGGCAGGGTCGGGCTAGGGGGCCACGGGGAGCAGTGGGGCTGCCAGGGAGTGCCCTAGACAGGCCCTCTGAGCTCCCAAAAGAACGCCCTGCTAACAAACTGCCACTGGGAATCCACCTCTAACTGAGCTACTTCTAGCAAGTGGGAGCTGATGGCCCCAGTGATAAAGAACATGGGCTTCTAGACCAGGCAGCCTGGACTCCAGTTTGTCAGTCCTGTCACCTACTGGCTTTATGAACTTGGGCAGATAAGTGGGCCTGGGTCTCCGCATCCTCATCTTTAAGAATACAGTGATAATAGCTCTCCCACCTCACAGGTACTGGGGATCAAATGGAATTATGCTGGCTAAGCACGCCCATGGTTTCAGCATGACATCCAATAAAGAAGACCTGCACTATGTGAGAGGAGAGGGTCAAGGCACAGCCTGTCGACACATCAGTGCGCCCCTGGTCCACCTGCCCCATGGCCACCCAGACCCACAGTGAGAGATCTAAGTTGGCAGCAAGACCCTCTGGGGCAAGGGTGGGCAGGGCAGGAGCACAGCAGTGCTGCTCAGTGGGACACCTACCTACGGCATAACCTATCACTGTCTGGTTCTGCATCCTGGACTTGCCACTCAGGGACTGAGCCATCCACAGGAAGAAGGATGTTCAAGGACTACCTGGCAGTACCAGTAAGGGGACTAGAAATTCTAAGTGTAAAGTGCCTGCACATGTGGTGTTTCAACTCCAGATCAAGCAAAAGACAGTCCCATAGGGAGAGCTGGGACAGGGCCCCTTGGGGTAAGACCTGACCTCAGACACTCGTGTCATCTCCCACCCTCAAGCTTAATGCAAATTCAGCTTGCATGGAATTTGAGCATATACTCTGTGTCAGATACACCTCCTTCAGCCTCTTACAGGCTGGTTTTAGGACCTCCACTTCCCGGTGCCCCTCTAAGCTGTATGACCCTGCTTCACCATCATTTCTATGGCCTCCACAGTCCCCAGAAAACCTACCACTAGTCACACTGGTCGCGGCAGATAGGCCCTCGCTCCCCTCCAGCTTTTGTGCCCTGTTGGAGCCAGCCTACTATGGGTTCTGGTGGGACAGAGCACTTGGCTTCACCTACTCAGAAGAGGCCTCAGACAGGGCCTGGCCCGGACAGCAAGAGCTACCACTAAATCCTATCTTACTGGCTCTGTCCTACATCATGGGTGCCCTCCATGATGGCTGTCCTCAAGTTGATTTTTTCACTATGCCTTTCCTAAAATTTAAAGAATGGATATAGTAGTGGAGACAACAGCCAAGACCACAAGCCGCTAAGGTTTGGAAACACCTCAGGCAATGTCTCATCAGCCCACCCATCTTTCAGATGGGGAGACTGAAGCTCTGGAGGACTGTGACTTGCCCAAGGCCAGCAGGTAAAGTACTGGGATGTGGTGGGAGCCAGGCCTGTGCTGTAGATACTGGCACAGCACCAGGGAATGTTGGGAGCAAATGAGGGGAGAAGAGGGAAGGGTGAGGGAAGAGAGACTCACCTGTTTCATTTCCTGTGGGGTGTACAGCATGGTCCGGATGATCATCACACGGTCCAGAAGGTCAAGAGGAATGCCATGAGGAGAAGTGATGTCCTCAGTACCCCTGCAAGGGTCCAAATGATCACATCACCCAGGCCTCTCTGAGATCGATCAGAAACTGGACACTGGAAACATAGCTGAGGTACTCACAATGACAAAGCAGCCAATTCACATCCTGAGTTAAGCCATGACCACAAAGTAAACAAACTAACATTCAGGTGGTATAAAAAACAACTTCATTATTTTAGCAAATATCAATATACGAGGAAATTTTGGGAAAGAGGAAAAAAAAACCACCTAAAATCCTGTTAAAAATATTCATATAGATATTTACCAAATTTTCATAAAGATGTCTTTCTAAGTCACACTAAGTGTGTAGATTTTTTGCTTTTGTCCATGTTTTTTCAGTCTTAATAATCCATCAAAGGGGCACCTGGGTGGCTCAGTTGGTACAGCATTTGCCTTTGACTTGGGTCATTATCTTGGGGTCCTGGGATAGAGCCCTGTGTCAGGCTCCCTGTGCAGCGGGGAGTCGGTTTCTCCCTTTGCCCTTCCCCACCCCCCAGCTCATGCGTGTGCTCTCTCACTCACTATCATTCATTCATACATACATAATTAAATATCTTAAAAATAATAATAACCCATCAAGTATTTTCCTTAACAAAACTGTTGGACATTTAGGTAGTTTCCAATTGTTGCTATTATTAATGATGTTTGATAAGCAATTTCATGGCATGAACATTTCTTCAGCAAATTTCAGAGTGCCTGACACAATCTGGAATATCTATTTGAATAAATGAATGAGTGAACTAATTTACAAGCTACATGAGTGATCTGATCTCACTGCATTGTAACCAGCACAGGGTATTCTAATTCTTAAATATTTTGCTGCTTTAATGGTTTAGAAAAAAGAAAGGGTGACACTCTGAATTCACATTTCCTTGATTACTAATGAATCATTTGAATGTTTCCCTTATATCCATTAATCATTTTCTTTCTTTTGGGACTTAATCGTGTCCTTTGTGTCTCCGTTTCTCTCAAATCCATAGCTAAGCCATACGAAGAGTGGCCCCAGAGAGGAGCCCTGCCAATCCATGAGGCCAACAAGACACCAGCTGTCCCACAGGATGTGCACCGAGCAAACCTCGTAGCACATGAGGTCGGCTTCAACACAGTGTCTGGAAGCCCAGTGTGCTCTGGGTTCCTGCTCCAGAGTCCGGAAGTCATAGCAGCAGATCCACATCAGCACTGTCTCTGACATTCCTACACTTAGGCCAGACTGCAGAGCCCCTAGGGCCCTAACTTATCAATAGAACAGCAAATAAGGCAGGTCATTTGGATTTAGTTGTTAATATTATCAGAATATTCAATTTCAATTATAAGTGAGCATTCAAGAAATACAGCTTCAGTAAAGAAATCTAGCTGTTAAAATCCTATCCAGTCAGTTGAAGTATAAATTTCTCTTGGAAAAAAATAAATAAATAAATAAACAAATAAATTTCTCTTGGAAAAAAATTTTTTTTTTTTTTTTTTTTTTTTTAGATTTTATTCATTTATTTGGAAGAGAGAGACAGATAGCAAGAGAGAACATGAGCTGGGAGGAGGAGAAGCAGCCTCCCTGCTGAGCAGGGAGCCCGATGTGGGGCTCCATCCCAGGACCCTGAGATCATGACCTGAGCCGAAGGCAGATGCTTAACCGACTGAGCCACTCAGGCGCCCCTCTCTCGGGAATTCTTTAAAAGATCTTAACATTGCCATGTTAAAATATCCCAAACTCTGTAACACTCATGGTAAATTATCTTCGATTCAGACGTAAAACGTTAGAAGAAAAATGAAGCACTCCCTAATCAAACTTCAAAATTTCCCATGAACCATGGCAGATGAGTGGAGCAGCAGCAAGCCACCGGCACTGCAGAAGAGCCACCAGGTCCCTGGCAGGCTCAGCCTGGATGTGTGAACTTAATGTGAAGATGAGAAATGACAGAGCTTTGAGGCAGATTACATGCTTATGAGCAACACTGAAATATGCTATTAGGAGATGTGGGAGAGACTGTGACCATTATAGAAATTAACAAGGACACATGCGAAGAGACATGTAAATCAACAAAACGGAATAGTACAAAACCCTTTGTCCAGGGAGATGGTGTTGTACTAGTTGCCCCTCCATGGAGAGGTGGCTGAAACGAAGAATTTATTGTGTATGGAACTCAGGAGAGTTTCTGTATGATCGCCTCCTTACACATAGAAGACATTCAGATAAGAAACCTGTGTACATTCTGATATTAAGAACCAAGGATTCTTGCACTCCTGAAAGGAGCTGATTTGCAGATAACCTACAAATTCTTAAGCTAAAGGGCATTTTTGTTTTTCTCCAACCTTTCCAATAAAGGTGCTCACCAAAAAACAAAGAACTCTTTTTCAGGCCATCTGCTCTATTATTTTTTTTTCCAGATAATTTCTGATTTTTTTCTTTTAATTGAATTTGATGTTTCCTTTTTTAATGCAAAAAAAAAAAGGAAAAAAGAAAAAATTCTTATAGTTTTGAATCTACAAAACTAAAAATTTATTTATTTATTTATTTATTTATTTATTTATTTATTTATTTATTTCAAAACTAAAAATTTAAACAAAAAAGTCTGCTCAAAGGTTGTTAAGCATTTTTTTAGGAATTAAAGCCAAAACATATGTCTAAGCTATGAATCTCAGGTACAAAGTTTCTTTTAGAAAACATGCTAGTAGCAAATGGTTTCTGGGATTCTACTCTGCAAGAGTCTCACAAAAGGGTCTGTCACATGGCTTGTGAAATGAGCCAGGGAATGGAAGCCCTACTTAGCAGTGCTCCTTGTGGGTGGTGAGTCCAGAAGGAGCTCTCTGTGCAGAGCAATCACTATTTGACAAGGCCGCCGTAACTATCATATTAGATTATAAAATTGCTAATAATAAACTAATAATTACATTTTGGCTAAAACTGCAGGTTTGTTCTTGTACCCAGAGATTTCTTTCTGGCTCTGGTGTCAGCCCAATATTGATTTCACCATTAGGCCATTATGACAATTGTTCAAACTGTGTTAATGCTGTGCCTCTTCCAGATATACAGTTTTGGGCTATGATGCCACAGGCCTAATTCTTTGGGGATCCAATATGGTATATCTGCAAGAACATAGTCATTGCACTTCTTGAAATTTATCATACAGCTATACTTACAAGTGCAAATGGTTGACTCATTTGCGAATGCTTCCATCTTACAACTCAGGGTTCCTCCACTGAGACACTTTGACATTATGGACCAAGTTTTTTGGAGGGGATTTTCCTGTGCATGTAGGATGTTCAGTAGCATCTCTGGCCTCTACCCATTAGATGCCAGTAGCACCCAAAGTCATAACAAGTATAAATGTCCCCGGCTGAGAATCATTGCCTGACTGCTTCTTTATATAACCCGTGACTACAGGGACACAGATAAAGCTTTTCTGATGACAGGAAGCATAGTGGATAACACCTCTCTGGGTAATATGAAGGGTAACTCCCTTAAATCTACCGCCCCCTGGCTCTGTGGACACAAAACCAAGAGTACTAAGAAATCCATTTGCTTTTTTGATGAGGCTGCCCAGACGATGAAAACCCAACAGTCGATGAAGAACAAACGGTCCTGGGACAGCTGGACATCCACATGTAAAAGAGTGAAGCTAGACATACTTCTTCCTTATACTATATACAAACCAATTTTTTTTTTAAGATTTTATTTATTTGAGAGAGAGAAAGAGGAGTAGAAGGAGGGAGAGAGTGAGTGATCACAGGTGAGCACAGAGGGAGAGGGAAAAGCAGACTCCCTGTTGAGCAGCGTCCGATGTGGGACTTGATCCCAGGACCCAGAGATCATGACCTGAGCCAAAGGCAGACACTTAACCAACTGAGCCACCCAGCGCCCCTATACTATATACAAAATTAACCACAAATGATCATAAACCTTAGTATAAGAGCTAAAACTATAGAACGCTTAGAAGAGCTCACAGGTGTAAATCTTTGTGACTTAAATTAGTCATGGTATCTCAGCTATGAGACCAAAAACACACACAACCAAAGAAATAACAGGAAACTGGACTGTATCAAAACTTAAAGATACTATCAAGAAACTGAAAAAACCACCAACAGGTTGGGAGGAAATATTTGCAAATCATACATCTGGTAAGGATCTAGTATCGAGAATATATAAGGAATTCTTATAACTCACTAAAAGACAACCTGAATTTTTTTTAAAAATTGGCAAATGAGGGATGCCTGGGTGGCTCAGTGGTTGAGCGTCTGCCTTTGGCTCAGGGCATGATCATAGAGTCCTAGGATGGAGCCGCAGATCGGGCTCCCTTCATGGAGCCTGCTTCTCCCTCTGCCTGTGTCTCTGCCTCTCTCATGAATAAATAAATAAAATCTTTAAAAAAAAAATTGGCAAATGACAGTAACAGAAAATTCTCCCAAGAAGATGAACAAATGGCTGATAAACCATGAAAGGATGCTCAAATTCAGTAGCCAAATGCAAATCAAAACTAGTGAGCTACCTATAAAAGACAGACAGGAACAAGTGTCATTGAGGATAAGGAGAACCTGGACTCCTCAGACACTGCTGGTGAGAATGGTGTAGTCACTGTGGAAAGCAGTTTGGCAGGTCCTTGAAAGGTTGAAAAGATTTCCCGTCTGACCCACCAATTCCCTGATAGGTATGTCCCCAAGAGAAATAAAAACCAAAGTCTACATAAAAAGTTGTACACAGGGCAGCCCCAGTGGCTCGGCGGTTTAGCGCCGCCTTCGGCCCTGGGTGTGATCCTGGAGACCCGGGATCGAGTCCCGCGTTGGGCTCCCTGCGTGGAGCCTGCTTCTCCCTCTGCCTGTGTCTCTGCCTCTCTCTCTCTCTCTGTGTGCCTCTCATGAATAAATGAATAAAATCTTAAAAAAAAAAAAGTTGTACACAAATGTTCATTGCAGCTTTATTTATAAAAGTCACAGAGTAATAACAATCTGACAACCCAAAGTCCATCAACTAATGAATGGGTAAATGTCCTGTTAAATATTCCACATTCTGGAATACTATTCAGCCTTAAAAATCAATAAACAGTGACGCAGGTTTACGACATGGATGGACCCTGAAAACATGATGCTCCGTGAAAGAAGCCAGGCACAGGAGACCACAGGTGTGTGGCGCCATATCTATGAACTGTCCAGAGAAGGCAAATGCATAGAGAAGGTAGACCAGTGGTTGCCAGGGGCTGTAGGGAGGAGGAAGGGGGGAAAACAGTTGGGGAGTGAGGCATGGCAGAGTAACAACTATTGATAGGTATAGGATTTATTTCTGGATTGATGAAAATGTTCTAGAATGGACAGTCGTGATGGTTGCACAACTTTGTGACCATACTAAAAACCCTAAATTGTACACTTTAGATGGGGAACTGTATGTGAATTCTAGCTCTATAAAGCTGTTTCCTTAAAATGTACCATCTTCTGCCATAGGAATACACTGAATGGAGACCACACTGTTTAAGTCTTGCTCTTTGGTACAACAAAGTGACTTGTGGAGAGGGACTCTCCTACAAAGACTTCTTAATCCCAGGGGGCTATTCCCCACAGGAAAAGAAGACCTCCCAAGTTTGGCGAGCTGGGTTCAAGGCCAGGCTCTCCTCTATTGGCTGAGGGTCCTGGCACAGAAGGGACTTCTCAGGGTGGTAAGGGAGGGCAGAGCCAGTGTAGCTGCACCTCCCATAGTGCCCAGCGGTGTTCTCTCCTCCCAGGAAGAGGAGCCCAAGGCCTCAAGGGGCTCCTGCAGGAATGGTTCCTGCTCCCCTGTGCACAAGGGGGCAGTGTGCACTTTCACAGCCACTCCTGACAGTGTAGCAGCTCCCTACACCAGCTCAGACACCTTCCTCCCTGTACACTGACCAGAAACCGTTCAGGAGAACAGGGGTGGCAGGAGCTCTACAGTCAGTCAACCCTCAGGCTGGTGGCCTATTCACATCACCTCTGTGTTAATCTGGAAATAATGTCACCTGCCCACAGAATCGTCAGGGTGCTTGAGATTACATGGGGTGAAGTATGTAGAGTACTCAGTTACTGCAAACTCTCTCTTCTCTCTCCTTTCAAGCTCTGGAGGTCAGAGGAAGCTCAACAGCTCCCTCCAGGAGTAAGGTCAGCTGGGAAGCAAGACAGATATTGTCAAAACTGTGCCAATGTTCCAGAAATTTCATCATTTCACATCTAAACCAAAACTTGTTGGGAGCATGGCCTCTTAAATCCAACACCCCAGATTCAAATCCCAGCCTGACTTCTGAGTAGTATGACCTCACTACTACAACAAAATTCCTACTAGGGCTTAGTCCCAAAAACCTCTTCTAGAGCAAATGTCTCAATTTTGGCTGCTTCAGCAGAACTGCAGAAAGTGTCACATTCCAAGCACCTTCTTCCCACTTGGGTGATTGCAGTCTGGCAGCAGCGGGCAGCCACAGCTTCTAGCAGCCCGATGAAATCAGTCTGGGGAGGGAGATGGGGCCAAGCTTGTACTTTTTTCCTAGGTTGGATGGGTCTGAGAGAAGTACTCTGAGTCCTAAGGGATTCAGCTCCTGTCAGAAGCTGCCAGGCTCCACTGGGAGCCAGGCTGGATTATCTGCTGGGAGGGAGAGGAGCCTGTTAGCATGGCTTCCCAGAAGGGGGCGCCAGCAGTCTAGGCTGAGCCTGTCACCAACTTTCAGATGGAAACCAAGTCCAACCAAACCAAGCCTAAGTCCAGTAAACCTACAGGGTCTGTGCATTAGGGATGCCAGGCTCACCAGGCACCAGGCCACATGGCTGGTTTCCAGATGCTGCCCAGGTAGCCAGATCCTCTCACTAACGGCTGACCTGGCCCTGAAACAAGCTGCTTTTTCCCCAAAAATGCAGAGAAGACCTGTGTTGATGACTTGTCAAGACACCATCACAGGGTTTCAAAGATCGACTACAAGCTGCTGCCACATGAACTTGAATCATGCAAGCAAATCCTAATTCTGAGCCAGCACGATCACCTGAGAGGGGAGCTGTCCCAGCACCAGCAGCACCGCTTCTGAACAATCTCAATGGAGACAAAGCTCCGTCAAGAACCAGCTAAACTCCTGGATATTACCTGCCATCATTCAGACGCAAGTCTCTGTGCTGATACTCATGGGCCTTAGGGTCATTTTCCAGATTCCTACCACCCCTTGCTGCCAGGAGCACACAGCCTCCAGCGCTGTTTACCTGCACTACTCTCCGGCAGGCTTGAAAAGGGCTCCTCATTCATGCCCAGCCATGCTGGGACCAGGCCCCAACATTCAAACAGGAACACAGAAAACCAAAAGAGCCAGAAAACTACCAAGTACAGGGCCCATAAGAGAGCTGGGAAGACGGTGTATTATCTGGGGCTCAGAAGTTTGCAGAGTACTCAGGAGAAAAAGAACCTCAAGAAAGTCCCCTAACCCAGCCCTGGGCCCATCCTTGCAGGATGAGAGCATCACACAGACATGTGCCTCCCAGGCCTCAGCCTCTACCTTTCCCAAAGGCAGGCCTACGGAGGCAGGCACCAGTGTGGCTCCAAAAAGGTCTGGGATAGAAAGAAAGTACTGGTTTTGTCACTGATTTTATTATCAGAAAGATCTGGGTTCTCATCCTGTCTTTATAACAAAGGACAAGTTATTCTGCCATTCTGTTTCTTCATCTAAAACATGAAGCCAAGAATATTTACTGCCCACAGCTAGCATGAGGATAGAAATTAACCTATGTAAGGTCACCCAAGGCCAGCCTATCTGCCCTTACATTTGCCCTCTCCCAACTGAATGACCAAATCACACCACACTGTAACCCTAGAGCCCACATGGGAGGCCCTCAGATTCCGTAATGTGGTTGCTGTTGCCTCTGGTGCCATGATGGAATGAGGCTGATGCATGAATTGCCTACCTGTGAAGACAAGCTACTTTGGCAGGTTTCTCTCAAAATGAACATGATCTCCCTTCATCTCCATCTTGACTTATTACATTATGGGTTTAAAATGATCCCAGAGGCGGGATCCCTGGGTGGCGCAGCGGTTTGGCGCCTGCCTTTGGCCCAGGGCGCGATCCTGGAGACCCGGGATCGAATCCCACGTTGGGCTCCCGGTGCATGGAGCCTGCTTCTCCCTTTGCCTATGTCTCTGCCTCTCTCTCTCTCTCTCTCTCTCTCTCTCTCTCTATCATAAATAAATAAAAATTAAAAAAAAAAAAAAAGTGATCCCAGAGGAAAACATGAACCCAGATGGAAGGTGGAAAGGTATTAAGGCTGGCAAAGAGCCACCCTACCTGATGACACAGTTGCCTCGGTTGGATGCAAAGATGACGATGGGGGCGATGGAAGATTCCAGGGCCCGGTGCAGGTAGGTGAAGCACTCTATGTCCAGCATGTGGACCTCATCAACAAAGAGTACACCTGGAACCAGCTCAGCAATGCCTTGATCAATGTACTTATTCACCACCTTGTTAATCTCCCCTCGAAGTTTGTCTAGGAGATAGTGAGAGGAGGCAAGTATAGTCAGGTTGGGAAGTGGTCCCCTTTTCTTCTCTCCCCCAACCGAATATGATCCTAACTCAAGTGTGGAGCCCACCTGTACTGCTAACTATACAACCCAGGCAGGTTATGTCCCCACTTCAGTGTTATCATCCGGAAATAGGAATATAATCACGACATAGAAGTTACAAAACCGGCAGCTTCCCCTGCTGATATGTTAAGTTTGTAAGTGGCTTTTATAGTTTTGCATGTCTTCACAAGGGCACGCTCCCCAGCTGCCTTATTACTCACACCAACCCACTTAGTGCTCTGTGACATCGCAGAGACACAGAAGTTGAGGAGCCCTGTGTGAAACGAGTTTTCATATGCAAATTTTCCTGTTCTGCGCTAAGTGACCCTTTCTTTTGGCCCTATGTGACAAAGCTTAAGTTAATTAACTTTCAATCAAGTGCCTAGATGAAGAACAGGGTGTGTGCAGAATCCTCTCTGGAAGGAAATCTGTGAGGAATGCAGGTTCTGAGGAAAGGTCCAACCTCAGAGTTCTAGAGGGACAGGTCTCACAAGAGTTACATAAGACCATCTAAGGTCACAGTTCTCATTTTCCAAACCAACTCCTGATTAGCATCAGGAGGGAGCTGCTCGCAAACACAGAACACGAAGATCTGATGCTGCATTGTCCACCAAAGTCATGAGGCAGGGATGGTCAAAAGAGAAGTCATGGTTAAAACTGTGAAAACACAGAAACTGCTCTTGGAGACTCTACTAGACAGGTCTCAGATCACTCCACTGGCTAACATGAAACAAAAAACAGAGGCTTTAATGTTTAACATTAAATATATTACCTATATATTTACCTATAATTCTGTTTATAGGTAATACTTATAGAATTATAGAATTGGGATCCCTGGGTGGCGCAGGGGTTTGGCGCCTGCCTTTGGCCCAGGGCGCGATCCTGGAGACCCGGGATCGAATCCCACGTCGGGCTCCCGGTGCATGGAGCCTGCTTCTCCCTCTGCCTATGTCTCTGCCTCTCTCTCTCTCTCTCGCTCTCTCTCTCTCTCTGTGTGACTATCATAAATAAATAAAAATTAAAAAAAAAAGAATTATAGAATTATAGGTATTACTTAGAAAAAAAGAGGGATATACCAGTTGGGAAGAGAAGCAGGGTAAACTAAAGGTCCACAAGGGAACAGTGACATTCCTGCCAAGCTCTGGGACATGCCCAGGAAGCTGAGCCAGGCAGGCTGGGAGCTGCTTTGTGGCTGTAGGGCAAGAAGGCCAAGGACCAAGGTGGTGGAATTTGCTGTGCTCAGGAGCAGTCTGGCGGGAGCTCTCCTGCACAGCTAGGGCAATACCATCCACGTTTCTTGGACCTCGAAAGGACCAGAGGTTGTGACAGCCTCCATCTTCAAAGATGAGTGCAAGGATACTGAATGCATTCAAGAGGATGCACTAGCACTCTGGGCTGGAAGCACACAGTATGCTTTATTTACAGCTGTCTAAAACAGCCACCGACTGCCAGGATAAAGCCAGGCTCTGAAGAGGAAGAACAAACCTGTCCTAAGGCATTTCCTGTGGCTCAGCAGTTTAGCACTGCCTTCAACCCAGGTGTGATCCTGGAGACCGGGATCGGGTCCCACATCAGGCTCCCAGCATGAGGCCTGCTTCTCCCTCTGCCTGTGTCTCTGCCCCCTCCTCTCTCTCTGTGTGTGTCGTCTCATGAATAAATAAAATCTTAAAAAAAAAAAAAAAAGCCTCACACAGTACATCAGAATCCAGGGCTCTACGGTTCTGGTTCTTGCTCACAGGCCTATTTCTCTTACCTGTGATTTCTGTCTTCTTTGGCTTCATTAACTGGCCCATCATGGACAGGATATCTTGCCCCCCCTGCAAAAGATTCCCAGAGTCAGTCCAACTTTCTAAGGCAGCTGCAAAAGTCTCACTACCACCACCCCCATCACACTGTTCTTACTATCAGCTGGACACGGGGTCCTAGGTGTGGAGACCCCAGGCACTCTCACTGGAAAACCTGAGGAACTCTCAACACAGAGGAAGTTTTAAGAGGTTCCCCTTGGACTGCAAGAATGAACACAATCCCTTCATGGGAAGTACCAGTTCTGTGGGGCCTACCCCAATCTCCTTCTTCAGCCATATCCTTTGCCGATCCTGTATTCCCTGAGTAGCCACATAGGACCGTACTCTTCTCTGAACACCCATGTTCTTTTATGATTCAATGCTTTTGCATATTCTAGTCCACCTGCCAGGAAGCACGGTGTCTTTTCCGGGAATCTCCAGTTATCCATCCAAGTTCAAGTCAAACACCCTCATGGGGCATCTGGCCCTTCACTCTGCTGATGCTCCAGTTCCCTTAGGGACGAATGGACTGTTGAGGGAAGTGTAAGGACGTACTTATCTCTGTTCCTGCATCTCCTCTCTCCAGACTCGACTGCACAGTCACATTAATCCCATCCTGGTCTAGAGCTGCTTGGTCGGGGAAGCCAATCCTACAGAACAGCCGGCTGCTAACAAGCTCACCACCTGCCGCACCCTCCTGCCAGCCCTTCCCAGTGCAGTCAGCAAGAAGAGGTGCTCTTTTGTCACCTGCCTAGCGTTTTGTGATCCTGTTTTGCCAGGTGCTGGGTCACAGAGGTGCTCACTAAATGTTTAGTTGTAAAATGTAGCAGATGTTTCCTGAGAAATTACATCTGATCCTACAGGGTAGGCACTATTTGCCCTCTTCACAGAGGAGGAAACTCGAAGCCAAAGAGCCCTAAATCACAGAAAACTCAGGGAGGCAAAGCAACTAATGGACCAAGCTCATCAGTGTTGGAATGATACAATCCCCGACTTCCAACTCTCAGCCCAACACTCCAAGGCGAAAGCTCCCAGGAGGCTGCTTTGGGGACAGCTGTTCCACACAGAGGGACCTGCTGGTCCAAGACAGTTCTTCAGCAATGTCTTGGCCAATGCTCGAGGGGGCAAAACACCCAAGGATCAAATTTCAAGTAAGAAAGCCTATTCCCTGCTAGTGAAGAGGAGGACTCTTCTAGGATGAAAAGGAAATCAAACTGAAAGACTACCAGCAGGGAAGACTAGGGTTTTAAAATCACACATTTTGCAGAGGTGTCACATAGTCGTACTGTTCTTCTCCCACATTTTACTAGTCAAGGTGTAAGTTTTCATCTTGCCAGCATGAGGAACAGACACAAATCCTGCTCAAAGCTAAAACACTAAAGATTTTGCTAGAACAGGGGGAAAGGCACAGCTTTGTCGGGCTTTCTGAAATCCTGCAAAGGGCTCAAAGAATACTCCTGCCCTACACCATTAACACCCAGAGAATCCCAGGCTTGAGCCCGCTGCTTGGAGGGAAGCCACAGAAGAAGCTGGCTAACTCACGGCCAGAGGCTTGGCTGGGATAAGAAACAATACACATGAAATCATCTGTGACTAGAGCATTTGAATTGGAACAAAGGAGTCCCTCAGTAGCTCATGTTGATGTTAATTGCTGAACATTACAGATAGAAAAGGACCGTCTGCCCTAAGAAACGGCAGCAAGACTCTGACAATTCATTCCCAAAGCTTCTGTGAACACACAAAAGGGCTCGTGTGCCAGGTCATGCCGGCATTGAGGCAGTACCTGGGGCCGTGCGTTGGCCACGTCCAAATCATGCAAGGTCACATCCTGGATGATTTCCTTCTTCTTATGCACATCGCCCTTTGGCAAGGGGACATATTCTTCAGCTTCAAGGTCGAATTCTGTGGCGTAGGTATCACACCTGCCCTGCCTCTGCAGAAAGAGAAACCTGAGTGCCGGGTGAGTGTTCGCTGCCAAGTCTCCAAATGGCACAGTGCTAAGTGAGATAAAAGCCTCAGTTCCCAACTACGGGCCTGACAGCCTACTTGACAAACTCCAAACACACCCCACACCCCCGCTGCCAAGAGAAGGAAGCTATCTGCTCATCACTGGGCTCCAAAAACCCAGTTGAAAAACACCTGATACTTTCTCCAAGAATTTCTTCCCCCCTCTTTCTTTTAACTGTATGCAATTCCTGATAAAGGGCAAATCCAGTAGATTAACTGGAGACGGAGGGAGCCGTTCAGACTCTTTTGTAGGTAGGTGATTTATCGTATGATATGAAGTATTATGCTCATCCATTAAACAGTGAGGAACACTGTACAGGACACTGAAAATCAGATATAAAAAGAATGCCAACTAATGCAGCATTCCTTCCACATGCATATATCTTGGGAAGAAAATACCAAAGAGATAAAAGGAAGATTAAACGCACTGCACACTTCAATTTGAAAATGACTACAGTTGTTCTGCTTTCTCACGCAGTACTCCCCCTCTAAACAAGCTTTACTATTTTTCGAACAGACTGTCTGTTTTAATCATGAGAAGGTTAAAGAATGAAGATAAAGGGAAAGCAAACTTTATTCAACATAAAGGGGCAACTGCTGACCTTCCCTCAGCATTGCACCAGACACCAGCCTCTCCTCGCATCCCATACTCCCTGAAGAAAGCACCCTCCCCTTGTTACTTAGGCCTCCTCATGCAAACCAGGCATGGTGTTACCTTCACAGCCCCACTGTTGGCTTCAATGTAGATCACATCTCCAGCTTCTACTCGCTCTTTCTGCAAACTTTCAAAAATGCTGGGGTCCAGCTTAAAAGAAAAAATAAACCCAAAAACATTTGACCCAGAGAACTGTAAAATACGTATAATATTTATTTCCGACATACTGTAAAGTACCTTTCCACAAGAGACTTGAGGTAGCTAATGACTGTATGGAGAAAGTGTATTTGTGTGGGAGTGAGTGGAGGAGTGGGTGTATAGGTATGTGTGTGTGTCTGTGGATGTGTGTGTGTGGATGCAGGAGATGAACAGCTTTGGGGATGTGTCCTAGAGACAGCAGGAGAGTGAGTGCACCCAGGGTAAGTGTGAAGGGAGACCTACTATCCTCTTTCCTTTTACTCCTGAGGTCGCAAACTGGCAAATATGGCTCTGACTGCTTTTAGGTGAGGTCCACGCTGTCCGTGAGATCACAGGCCCTAATAACCCCTTTTGAGATTGCTCTCTGCTTCAATTCTTCTCCTCCACTCCTCCTCAGGTAGGGGTAGAACTTCCTGCATGTGAGGCACCCAATGGAACCTGCTTGCTCTTCATGGTTGAAACTTGATGGTCCTATGACTTTGGACAAGGCTCTCTGAGCCTCTGTTTCCTCATCTGTACAACAGCACCCAGGTGTAAATATCCAGAGGGAAACACAAACCAGGCCTTTTGATTCAAATCCTTATCTGCTCTCTGGGGCCTGCCTGATTATACCTTCAGGAAAGGAGAGGAGCATGTTTTGGGGACCGTTTCTTTTCCCCTGTCTAAATTCAGCTACCCTTGATGTTCAGTATTCAAGGACAGCCATCTTTGGTCAGGAGTCAAGATTTAAACATAAGTTTCTCTCCATAAAACTTCATGGAGAGCTATTTCCCTTAGTTGACTTTACATTTTATAATGTGAAAAAAACGGGCTTTGTCTCAAACAAAATTAAAGAGTAAAAACTAAGAACTCCGTGAAAGAAGCCAGACACACAAAACCACATGCTGTATGACTCCATTTACATGAAATGTTCCGAAAAGACAAATATATAGAAACAGAAAGTGGATTAGTGGTTGCCAGAGGGTGTGGGTTGGAATGGGCACTACTGTCAATGGGCATGAGGTTTCTTTTGGGGTGATGAAAAATGTTCTAAAATTGGACAGTGGTGCTAGCCATACCATTCATTCCGTAAACAGATTAAAATTCCTTCCTAAAATGGGTGAATTTTATTTAAAATTAAATTTCAATAAAGCTGTTAGAGACAGTAACCACAGGAATAAACCCAGAGCTCTGTGTCACTGGCAGGGTAGGGTCTGGCAGCCTCCCAGAGCACAAGGAACAGTGTTTGGTAAGCCCCTGACGCAGGGCCTAGAACAAGGAAAGCACCTGATAATGATGGCAAGTATGATATTCTCTTCATAAGTCAGTATCTACACCAAGTATCTTAGCTCCATTTGTCCAAATACCGTGTGTGTGTGTGTGTGTGTGTATACTCAAAGTAGCTAGAAGTACTCATTTGGGAAGGAAAAAAATTCATCTCCCTTATGTTATTTTCTTGAAGAAACTGTGCAAAGCAGCCTGATGGAGAGCTGAAATGTAAATGTAAACTGCATGCCTTACTTCAGCTAACTTACACTGGGGAGTATTCTTTTTTTTTTTTTTGTCTCAAGCATTTTAATATTGGTTAATTTCCCAAATGAATTGACTGAAGATGTAATTACTGGAAAGGTGGCAGATCCTACCAAGAAATCTAATTAATACAGAATGGGAAAAATGAGGGGGAGGTTTAAAAGAGATATTTGCAGAGGCAAGCTCCTGAGATGGAAACCCTGGTAGGAAAAAGAAAAATGACCCTCTGAAGAAGTGACATTTTTATGATCTCCATAAAGCAGTGACCGAGAAACCATCTTACAGGATCAAAGAACCATAAAATCATGGAGGAGAGCAAGGATGGAGAAATTATATAGTCAATCTACCACAGTTCACAGATGGGGAAACGGTGGCCCAGAGAGTTCAACTGACTCCCAAAGATCACACAGCAAGTGGGAGGGTGAACAGCATAATGGCTGAGACTCAGAGAATCCTGTCTGCCACTTAACCAGCTGTGTGATCCCAGGATAAGCTCCTGATGAAACCTCAGTTCCTTTATCTGTTACATGAGGGAAATTACACAAATGGCACACATACATGTAGAAAGCTATAAATGATAACAAATGAAATATTTAAGTATTTGCCCAGGCCTAGCACATCCAATAAATTAAGAGCTATGATGCTATTATAATTATTACATTGTTTATTATAAATAATAAGGCAAAGCCTACAATCCCAATTGCCCCGTTTCTCTAACTGAAGGCTCTCACAATAACACAACAGCTATCACTTCTTAGGTAACTAGGAGCTACCCCCAATGCTACAACTTTTACATCCTTCCAAGAACTCTATAGATAGAGATAGGCAATCATTATCCCTATTTAACAGATAAAGAAACTACTGCTCTGAGATTAAGTCACTTGCCAAAGGCCACCTGTCAGCCGCGGAGCCTGCTCTCTCTTTCAGACTTTGCCTGACTCCAAACCATACCCTTCCCCCAGGCATCCCGGTTACCCCACATCCTTAGGGTTGACAGGACAAGAATCTGAGGAGGGTATCAAGGGCTTCCCACACTGCCACCACAAAGCCTTAGCCAGAGCAGAATCAACCACTGAAGCCACTATAGGTTTCTAGGCCCTGACACATAAAAGAACTGCAGTCAGGAGTCTGTATTCGGCCCTTTGGGATGTCCATCCATCATCTGTTATACAACTTTTACCAGATTACTCCATGCTGCTTCTTTCTGTGAGCATGAACACTCATATCTGAAAAACTAATCCACTTCAGAGACAAGTCCAGGACCTTTGACACATGGTCATAATATGGGATACAGGATGGCAAAAGGTAAATAGGACTAACCACACAACTCACATTTTAACATACAGTTTCCTGGGAGTCAATGAGAAAAGGAAGAGCTACCTTTATTGGGTCTTCTTGTGTACTTACACCCTATTCTAGGTACTGCTTAATATACATACCATCCTCAGATGGCCCTGTGATGTATCATCACCCAAAGCACACAGAGAAAAATGAGACACAGAGAGGTTATACCACTTGCCCAAGGTCACACAGTGCTGAGAGATTCTGAAGAAAGAGAAAAGGTACTTACTTTCAACTGTTTGGTTCCTTTGGCTGTTTTAAGTCCTATGATCACATGGCTAATGGTTTTGCCATACCCTCCCATGGGGTTCTCTGTCTCACATGGAGTCAGCTCTGTGACTTCACCTTCATAAACCTCCTTGGTCTCCTTTATCCGCAACCCTGAAAGAGATAGCAGGTGATGAAAAAAAAAAAAAAAGAGAGAGAGAGAGAGAGATAGCAGGTGAGCCCTGGTGAGAAGCAGAATTCTCTCTCACATATTACCATATTCTTACTCTTTGATAGCCTTTTTAGCCACAAAATTTCCGTGTCACAAAGACTGACAAGTCATTTACTAATGTACATTCAAGGTTATCACTCTGGGTAAAAAAGTATTACACACATAAATGTAACCTGGAAGAAGTATTCAGAATGTGGAAAAACAATTTTATTTCAACTTTTCTTTTTTTATTTTTATTTTTATTTTAATTTATGATAGTCACAGAGACAGAGAGGCAGAGACACAGGCAGAGGGAGAAGCAGGCTCCACGCATCGGGAGCCCGACGTGGAATTCGATCCCGGGTCTCCAGGATCGCGCCCTGGGCCAAAGGCAGGCGCCAAACCGCTGCGCCACCCAGGGATCCCTATTTCAACTTTTCAAAGGGACTTTCTAGGTTCAAATCTAGAACTAGATAGACAAGCTATAATTCCCAAAATTGTTTCTGACATCTGCTATACCTCCAAGGGGGTGAAATTTAACTTTATAGTCTCTGAACCCAAACCATTCTACTCCACTGGAGCAGCAACTACATATGCCCTCATTTCCTGCATTTTTGACTCTCAAAAATTTTTTTAAATCGATGTAATAACTCCCTATATCGCTTGTGACACCATCAGGCCTAAGCTAGGTATAATTAAAGGTCCATGCCAACAGTGAGTGATACTTGACCTGCCGGTGTTCTGGACCTCTGGCTATCAGTGCACACCCGATGAAGAAATACCCAGTGGTCATTCAGTACTTACAGTGGGTTGTTCATAAGTTTTCCAAGGCCACAACAATTTCCAAAGCAATCCCCCAATAATAAAGCACAATTTTCAGATCAGAAGATTATAAGTGAAGGCAAATATCTCTCCTCATTCTAAACATCAACCGCATTAGCTGTTCAATAAATGTTGTCAGACAAACCAAGAATTTTTGGCAAATTAATTTTTAGAACATGATCTCAGTGCCTTTTTATGCAGTGTTTTTGCTGCCTAAAGTACTTTCCTCCTTTTGGCTTCACTAAATACCTATGATTATGTTTTTTTTTCCCTGTGTGTATACGTGTGCATAGTCATATATATACATATATATTATGCTTTAATAACACATTAAAATAATAAAAAGACAACTGGGTTTGTCTAACAAAGCAATGATAATTTCTAGTAAGTAAAGGTTTTCCTGCAACAGGAAAACAGAGGCATACCACTGAACACAGCTCCTCTGAAAACACATGCACCCACACAAGCTCTCCCAAATTCCCAAAGCCTGGGTTAAGAGACACAAATGCTTTTCTCCAAAAAGTCTACCTCAACAAGAAAATCATTTCCAGTCACTGTACCTGCCATCAGTCCAGAGGTAAGGAGAGAAACATTCTTAGGTCATCCTAGCTGAAGATGTGTACAAGTCCCTACACTTAGGAAAGTGCAGGCCACACCAGGAGGAACACACTATAAACCTGTAACTGCGGCAGCCTCTTCACCAGTATAAGCAGCCTCCCACCCAATCTACAGAGGGCATGCATATAACCACCTCATCTGATCCAGCACTGGAGTTGCAAGGACAAGAGGAGAAGCCAGTACATCCCAACCTAGCCCTGCAAAACAGCCAAAGTGAGTACTCTTTATGTCATTTTACAGAGGAGAGGTCAGCTCCAAGAGGTGGAGCAAAGGGTCCTTTCCTCTTTCATGGTAGACCCCAGATTAGAATCCAAGTCTTCTGGCTCTGACACCAGCTTCTTCCCACCACACCATACCACACCACACCACAGGGCCCTAGCTCGCTGACAAGCCTTTCCCACGCTTGGCTCTGTTCTAGTCTCTAATTTATGTTTTGCCCAAAGGAAAAAACAGAAATGTAAGGGAAACCTGTAAATTAAAAAGATATAAGACATGTATCAACCAAGCTATCATGCAGACCCTTATTTGTATCCTAATTCAAATAATAATACAAAAAAAATTAAAAAAAATACACTAACATGAAACAACTGGAAATTTGAACACTAATTAGATATTTGATGGTATCAAGGAGTATATTGTTTGCTTTTTTCTAGGCATGATAGCAGTACAGTGGGGTTTTCTTTAAGTCCTTATTTTGCAGAGATACATACTGAAATATTCAGGGATAAAAAAGTAGGTCTGCAATTAACTTCAAAGGATCTGGGAGGGGAATGACGGGGGCTACAGATCAATCAAGATTAACGATGAAAAACAAAAAAAGGATAAAGAAAAAAATGCAATGAAATACTATTCTACGACCTCTAGGATCACTACAGTTAAAAGCTGACCATATCAAGAGTTGGTGAGGACACAGAACAGCAGGAAGGTTTGCACTGCTAGTGGGGGTATATAATTGGTACAAATACTTTACAAACAACATGATATTGTCTCCTAAAGTTGAACATGTGAATATCCTGTATTCCTGTAGTTGAGCTCCTAGGTATATACCCACTAGGTGTGGGTGTGCTACATGCACCAATAATGATGAAATCTCACAAACATAACTGTGGAAAAGAAGCCAAGCACGGAAGAATATATATTTACATACTGCCTGATTGCATATATGAGGTTCAGAAACAGGTATAACTACTATAATGTTAGAAGCAAGACAGTCATTAATTTGGGGAAGGAAGGAAGGAAGGATAGATTGGGGATGGACATGAAGGGTACTTTGGGGTATTGGGAATACTCTCCTGACTGGGTGCTGACTGCACAGGTTTTCAGTTTATGATAATTCACTGAGCTATATACACTTACGTTCCATGTGCTTCTTTTTATTATGTGCACACAAAATTACCAAGCCACTTTAAAAAGAAAAATTTAAGTAAATAATAGTGAGACCTGGCAAAAGAGGGACACTGATGGCTTACGTTTAGGAAACAATATTCTAAACCTTAGCCGAAGTCTACATCGTGGTTCTCCTTTAGCATCTCCTTTAGCATCATGACAGGCATTTACAATTCTTCAGGCCCTGGTTGGACTCAAACCATCTGCCTCTGAATCTCAGGGGTTGGGACTGCCATCATCATTAGCTTAAAGCTACCCCCTGAGATCCCAAAGCACAACCACAGCTGAGAACAACTCATTTAAGAAGGAATGAAGGGATCCCTGGGTGGCGCAGCAGTTTGGCGCCTGCCTTTGGCCCAGGGCACGATCCTGGAGACCCTGGATCGAATCCCACATCAGGCTCCCGGTGCATGGAGCCTGCTTCTCCCTCTGCCTGTGTCTCTGCCTCTCTCTCTCTCTCTCTCTCTCTGTGACTATCATAAATGAATAAAAAAAAAAAAAAAAAAAAAAGAAGGAATGAAGAACTCCGTCCTACTCACAATGTAGAGCCATAAACTACCCCTGATGACAGGTAGCCCAGATAGGGTTTGGGTGTCCTCATCATCAAGCCACCTCTGTTCTGATATGGAAATAGCCCAATGGCATAAAGAAACACTGCCAATGGTGTCAGACACTTTCAATCACTTACCACTTTTAAACGTGGTCATTATCTTATCACTGGGTCAGTTGCCTTCTTTCCCCAGAAACCCAACCAGGACAGAGACTCTCAGATACTAAAGTTAAGGAGTTCTACTCTACCTTTATTCAATCTGATAGCCTACAAATGGAAGTTTTGGAATGGCCCCAAAAGAGAGGTTGTGTTTCATTTTTGCCTTTCCAAATTCGTAGTTCCTAAACTTCAAGACAAAAATTTTCCAAACCTACAAAAATGTATCAGAAGACTGTGACATACTTGGAAAATTCTGTACTTTTAAAATGAACTTCGATTTTTTTTTTAATCAAAACTTTTATATCTCACAGGGATAAATTCCTTCCAATGGAATGCTCCCTCTATTTCCTGTTAATGACCATGACATGAAATTCCTTGAGCGGGGAAGAAAGGCATTCCCGTCTCTCAGTCTCTCACTAGTCCCCGTATTTGTTTAGAAGTCGCTCTGTGCTGACAAGCAGGCAGGGGATGTGGTTGATGGACAATGAAAGCGGCTGTTAGCCAGGGAAGGGGCCGAGCTGGCGCTATCTCTGGCAACGGTAACACAAATGACACAGGTTTCATCTGCTGGCTCAGGTTTCTAAATCCCTGACAGGGACCTTCATCACGTCAAGGAAACAGCACAGACTCCTTGCTTTTTATTTCTGGTCAGCTTACTGCTTCCTCCCCACCCCTCTGCCAACTTCACAGGAATTCAAAGGCAGAGGAAGATGGGCAGGGTTCCTTTTTGAAGATAGTCAATGGCCTGCCTTTTTATTCTGTGGCAGGATCAAGAAATTCTCTTTACCTCACTGCCATCAAAAGAACTGCACTGCCCTCTCCCCTCAAAAATGGCAAATCACAAAGCAGATGCCTAGGAAATTTACCTCTATTTTTTCCAACTTTAAAGCATTACCTTTATGCAACCTAAACACAGACGCTTATGTAAAAGTTTTGTCAGATTTTAGCAGTCAGAAAAATATTTTTTTAAGAAATAAAAATACATTTTAGATGTATTCAGATATTTGAGTCAACTGTAATATCTTACAGTTTATCTCACTAATTAGTGAGTCAAATAAAATCTCTGGCGCATAATCATTAAGTTTTTTAAAGACTCAAATATTTTAAACCCTGAAGAGGGTCTTGCGAGCCATTTCCACTGTTATTCCAGGTACGATTCAAAAGTCAAAAGACCGCAAAACACCTAAGAACACCGGCAGCTGAACCTCACAATGCTACCAGAAAAGCAACACCTAAAGTAGGTTCTATTTAGATAAAGCTTAAAAGGCAAAATTCAGCCATACTGCTGTACCTGCTCTGAAGCACGAGTCGTGGCCACACAGCTCTTGCGCTCTGTGGATGGGTGTGGGAGAGGGGAGGGGCTGTAGCCGGCCAGGGCATGGTGACAGCTGCGGTGCTAGCCCTGCTCTGTACTTGGAGCTGAGCGGTGACTACAGAAGTATGTACCTCATCATTAACTGTTAAACTACAGGATGCTGTACCTACTTTTCTATATGTAGATTTTATTTCAGTTTAAAACAGCCACCAAAATAACCCAGTGTTTCCAGTAACAAAGATTTCCAGTAAGAAGTATTTTGCAGGGGATCCCTGGGTGGCTCAGCAGTTTGGCACCTGCCTTTGGCCCAGGGCGCGATCCTGGAGTCCTGGGATCAAGTCCCACGTCAGGCTCCCGGCATGGAGCCTGCTTCTCCCTCCTCCTGTGTCTCTGCCTCTCTCTCTCTCTATGTCTATCATAAATAAATAAATCTTTAAAAAAAAAAAAAAAGAAATATTTTGCAGTTTAAAGAAAGGCCCTATCTATATAATATAAAGCTTAGCCTACACACATGGCTCACAATCCCTCTGGCTTAGAACAAGAGTCCCACGCTCCAGTGCCTGCAGGACCCAGTGCAGGCAAGCACTTGATGGGGCACGTCAAGCAGCCCAGCAGGTCCCCCCCCAGAGCTGCGGCACACTGCATGGCAAGCCCGCTCTGCAGAGCAGCACTGCTCACCCCCAACCTGGCTGTTGCTGGTGGAAATGAAAGCTTCTCTCCAGAAGCCAGAAAGAAGTATCTTAAAAGGATATTTCCCAATTTCTAAACACTGGCAACTGATTCAAAATTTTAAAAACCCTGTGTAAACCAAACAAAGTATATCTATCACCAGATGCAGACTGAGGGCTATCTTTCTTTAGCCAAGGTCGTCCTTCTACCTGCTTTAAAGTAGGTACTCCCTTCTCTCATTCAGAAGTGCATTCCTGAACTGGGGCTGCAGTGGCCACTCTATCCACAGTAGATATTTAAAACACCCAGTCTGCTCCTCTCCATTCTTTCCCATCTGTCAGAATGCCCACCTCTTTCTTGCAGCCCCATATCTAATCCTTCAAGCAGTTCCATCAGCCCTACGACAACTATACCCAGAATCTGGACAGTTCTTAACACTTCTGCCTTCACCACGCTGGCCCAAGCCAACATTTCCTGCTCAGACTCCTCAGTCTCCCTGCTGTCCTCTCACTCTCCTCACCTTCCATCCCCAGCCAGAGGGATTCTTGGGCAACTGAAACTACTCTCCAATTGCTTCTCCTCACTTTCAGCGAAAAATGCAAAGCCCTAATTGTAGCCTGAGGCCCTACATGATCTTACCCCTGACCTAGACTTTAGCAGTCTTAAGGCAAGGATTCCGGGCTAGACAAATGCACTCTTTCTTAAACTTTCCTCATTTCCTCCAAGTTTTCTAGGAAATTTCCTTAAGAATATTTACCTTGTTTTGACAACTAAAGGGCCTAGAAAACCATACAGGCACTCTGAAAAGTGTTCATAACCCATGACTCCACAACTGTATCCTAGAGATAGACTCCCACATGTGCAGACACACATTACATAGTTTTTAATATCTTAAAAGGAATAAGCTATTTCTACCTGTACACGTGAGGGAAGCTGGGATTTTCCCAGAGCAAGGCAACAAAAATTGGGCAAGGAGACTGGCCCAGACGTCCTGGCTGACAAGAGATAAGTATCTGAGAAAGGCCATTTTCTTTTCATAGCAGATCTTCAGAGCATAGGCTCTAGAATCAGACAGGCATAGGTTCGGACTGTAGCCCTGCTACTTACTAGCTAGGTTACTGTAGGCAAGTCATTTAACTTCCTGAGACTGTGTTTCATCAGATGCAAAAAGAAGTCAGAGAACTTTCTCTTAGGGGAACTAAAGGTTGTAATCAATATTGGGTGGGAAGGGGCAGGGAGGGAAGCTGGCATATAACAACTACTTGATATGGTAGCTCCAAGCCCCATGAGAATGGCACCATAAGCCTCAAATCTCTGCCAATCCTCACATGGTTTCCTCACTCCCTGAAAGACCACAATTCTTCTGGCTCAATATCCAGGACCAGGGGCATTCCCGCATCATGACACACAAAGCTTTTGGCTTAAGTCCAAACCTTTTCAGTGGACAGTCATCTCTAAAAACATAATAAAGCTGCCAGGAAAATCTGCTTTAAAAAAAAAAAAAACTCACTTCACAGCCACATTTATTTTGTCAAGTGAGAAACCCCAGCCCCATAGCTAGGGACCATATTTGCTGATTGTTAAAGCACTTCAATTAGAAAAGCTGGGTTCTTGTTTGGCTTGCAAAGATAACACTAATGGTGCCAAAAGAAAAATGGTAGTACAACAAATATAAGTCATAAAGGCATTTGCACAACCAAACAGCTTCAGCGCTCTGGGCAAGTGAGAACCAACTCTTGCCACAGAAGTGATACTCACCAATGGCCCTGCGGAAGTTCTCCATCAGCACCTCTGTCTTCTTGATCTCCGTGGAGTAAACTTCACTCCCCACCATTGGGCAGAAAGGGACCTTACTACCCAGCTCCTGAGCGATAGCCAGAGCTAGGGCTGTCTACAGAAAACAGTGGAAATCACTTGTTTTACATTCTTGAAAATGCAGTAATTCAGAAACAGATGCTATTTAAAAATACATAAACCAGGAATAACTGAAAATCTAGTCCTTTTATTTGTAACATCATTTGGCATGCTTCATATAGTAGATGCTGAATGACTTTTGTGGACAGGCAATTTATAACCCAAATGGCATCTTTAATCATCCCTGTATAATTACAACAGCTGTCACTTACTGACACTTACCAGTGTGGGCCCGACTGTAAGTGCTTCATGTGACCCTCCCCTCCCCCTAGGAGGTAGACTCTAAATTCTCCCCACTTTACAAATGAGGAAACTGAGGCACAGGAGAGCTTAAATAACACGTCCTGGGAACAATAATCTCAAAAATGGCAGAGTGGGAACTTTAAGTCTGGTGGCAGAGCTTCAGAGATCATGTTCCCATTGTAATCAGTAGTCTCCTAAAATACTTCCTTCACTATTAAAACAGGGCCCTGGGGATCCCTGGGTGGCTCAGCGGTTTGGCGCCTGCCTTTGGCCCAGGGCAAGATCCTGGAGTCCCGGGATCGAGTCCCGCGTCAGGCTCCCGGCATGGAGTCTGCTTCTCCCTCTGCCTATGTCTCTGCCTCTCTCTCTCTCTCTCTCTCTCATGAATGAATAAATAAATAAATCTTAAAAAAAATAAAAAAAAATAAAACAGGGCCCTGACCTAATTGCCCAGAACACTACTCCAGGGTGGTTTTTACAGGCAAGGAGAACACCAACCTCCAGCCCTTCAAAAACCACTAATCAAAGAATGAATCACAGGACATTTGCTTTGTATTGAGTGGCCTGCCCACAGTGAGGAATGATGCAGGAGCTAGGTTCTAAAGCTATGAGCTGGTCCTAAGTAACAACTGAACATGCTCTCATAAACTACGAACTGATTTTTAGTAAGAAAGCTATTGCTGGCAAATGCTAAACACAAGCAGATTTAACAGCTGCATGGTCACATAACAAGTATAAAAAGTCAATACGTTAGAGCTGGTACAGGACAGGGAAATGCCATGGTGTCTGAATACATACATCTTTGCTCAACTTTGAAACAAGAGTCTGAGTAAGGTCAGTTCCCAAGGCATATATATGGGCTAAGCAAGAAAGCAAGCTTGTTCTACACAAAGTGGATCTCTGAGACAGTCTTTTACAACCAGCCTAGTAAGGTTCCTCTTAGAAGGAACCTCTTCAGTGCCATTTTGGTGATGGTTTTAAGATGGTAGAATGTGTTAGAGAAACAGCATGAAGCATAGCACAAAAAACACTGGTAGATGGGCAAAAACGGGGTTGCAGTCCTGGTTCTACAACTGATTTTCACTGTGACCCTGGGCATGTGGCAAATCTCTGGTGCCAGATTTCCCGACCTGTCAAATCAAAATCCTAGGTTAAATCACAAGTCCAACTTGGCGCCCACAGCCTGATTCCATTTCGCCCTGCTGAGTCTTGTGTGTTTTTAAACTCAATTTATTGCCCATTTTTTAATGTTGGGAAATTTCACATAAAAATTCATGTATTTAGCTTCTTTTGAGGAACCAGAAGGTTTGGCCACAAAGGGCCCTCATTACCACTTGGTGGCGCCTGGTATGTACCTCTAGAACAGCTGCCACCTTCAGTGAGGGCACGCCCCTCTGGCCACCACAGCCACCCCACACCCTCAGGCTTGTATCCAGACACTTCTCTCATCCCCATGGCCTGTGTGAGTGGGCAGCTAAGTTTGTGACCTCAAGGCTGATGCCTCTAAAACTGTTATTGTCTGGTACTCTAAAAGGGAAGGGAAAATCTCTGAAGCATGACAGGGTACAGTGTGAGGGGCAGACCCTAGCACCATGCCCACCTTTTTAAGATTTTATTTATTTATTCATGAGAAACAGAGAGAGAGAGATGCAGAGACACAGGCAGAGGGAGAAGCAGGCTCCATGCCGGGAGCCTGTTGCGGGACTCGATCCTGGGACTCCAGGACCACGCCCCAAGCAAAAGGCAGCAGACACTCAACCACTGAGCCACCCAGGCGTCCCCATGTCCACCTTTTTTTTTTTTTTAAAGATTTTATTCATTTATGCATGAGAGACACAGAGAGAGAGAGAGGCACAGAGACATAGGCAGAGGGAGAAGCAGGCTCCATGCAGGGAGCCCGCCATAGGACTTGATCCCAGGTCCCCAGGGTCCCACCCTGGGCCAAAGGCAGCGCTAAACCGCTGAGCCACCGGGGCTGCCCCCATGTCCACCTTCTATCCAAACCCACCACCTACTCAGCCATTCCTTTCTCACCCAGCTATCTCCACAGGCCCTGACTCCACACATTCAGCTGTGAACTTCAAAGACAGAAACTATATATGGTTCAATGGCACACCCCCATCTCTACCTAAGACAGAAGAGATGATCAATATTCCTCCAATAAAATATGATAATTATTTGGTTAAGAAATGCTTCAGGTGTGCCTAGTTTCTTCCATTTAAAGGCTCCCAGGAGGCAGGTATACAGTATAGCTAATACACCCATATTTGTTACACAGTTCTAAATTGCTTGTATGAGGGGATCCCTGGGTGGCTCAGTGGTTTGGAGTCTGCCTTCGGCCCAGGGCGTGATCCTGGAGTCCTGGGATTGAGTCCCACATCGGGCTCCCTGCATGGAGCCTGCTTCTCCCTCTGCCTGTATCTCTGCCTCTCTCTCTCTCTCTCTCTCTCTCTCTCTCTCTCTCTGTGTGTGTGTGTGTGTGTCTCTCATGAATGAATGGATGGAATCTTTAAAAAATAAAATAAAAATAAATTGCTTGTATGAGGTCTCTGAATCCTCCCAACTAGCATATGAACTTGATGATCTAGTATTTGATGCTGTATTTGATAATTGTATTTGATAGACTTAGAAAATGAAACACACAAGTTACTAACTCACCCAAGGTCAATTACCAAGCTGCAAAGCATGCAAACCCCAACCCCCAAGACATTATTTCTTTGTGAGCAGCCTCCATGTAAGTGGCAAGTGGCACACAAAAAAGAGGTTGTTGCAAAGAAAAGACTGAAGAAATCTATTTTCAATCTCATCTGAACATCTCCTTTCTCTAAAGGCTAAATATAAAACCCCGTTATTAATAGAGTGAGATCCTTAAGAGTGGATTAGCCATATGAACCACATATTTGCATCTCTAAAATAAGCACCATATTCCTGCCTGCCACTTAGTCAAGTCACGTAAACCATAGATCCCGTCAGCACACCATAAAGCAGGAGAGTTACCACAAGCCTTCATACACATGGAAACAGACTGAACAAACCCATAGTGCTGAGAACTTCTATTTCCTAGGAGGAAAATGGTACAATATTACAAAAGGAATAAAGGGAGTACCTGAGTGGCTCAGGCGGTTAAGCGTCTGACTCTTGATTTTGGCTCAGGTCATGATCTCAGGGGCACGAGATTGAGCCCCGTGTCTGCTTGTCCTTCTCCCTCTGCTCCTTCCTGCGGCCTGCACTAGTACATGCATGTACACACTCTCTCTCTCAAAGAAAGAAAGAAAGAAAGAAAGAAAGAAAGAAAGAAAGAAAGAAAGAAAAACTACCATCACCTTTAAAGTCCAGAGGGTTTTGACAGATAGCAGGAACCTCAGCAAGGTACAGTGGTAAGAGAAAACTCCCTGAATAAAAAGGAGCCCTGAAGGGCCATGCATGAATAGAAAAGGCGAGCCATAACCAAAAAAATCCTGAAATACAAGGTATAAACAGGTATAAACTTATCCATCCTGCCATGGCTCTGGGTAAGGAGAAAAGTCTCCACAGCATGCTCACAAACAACTTGAGGATTAGTCTTTATACTGAGAACTAGAAAACCCACTCCACAAAATTCATAGTAAGTGCCCTGGGCAGGAGGGCAGGAGGGCAATTCACAAGCACTTTCAAGAGAAGCCTCACAGAGTTGATGAGCCAAACACAAGTTCACAAGCAGACAGAATACAGAAAAAATGAAGATACTGAGTCATGAACAAGGAACAAGAGGCTATAAAAAATAGCCAGATTTTTTTTTTAAAGCCACATTTTGAAGGGAAACAAACTGAACTTAAGTTGGGGATATTCCTTCTTTACTAAAAACAAAACCAAAAGCAAGCTAATACATGTAGAATGACAGATGTAGAAAATCACCATTTTGCAACCACCAATGTATTTACTGAGAGAGCAATAACCATAGGGAATGCTATACCATCAAGGTGAAAGGATAGTCACAACATCTCAGCACGCCACTTACGATGATGAGTAATCAATTACAAAGGGAACCAGAGGGATCCCTAGGTGGCACAATGGTTTGGCGCCTGCCTTTGGCCCGGGGCGCGATCCTGGAGTCCTGGGATCGAATCCCACGTCGGGCTCCCGGTGCATGGAGCCTGCTTCTCCCTCTGCCTATGTCTCTGCCTCTCTCTCTCTCTGTGTGTGACTATCATAAATTAAAAAAAAAAAAAAAAAAAAAAAAAAAAAAAAAAACAAAGGGAACCAGGACCTTCAAAGCAGAGCTTGGCCTCTGGCCCATTGTGTTAGCCTCCTGCTGGGATGCAATGGGAGACAAGATACCCGTGCAGGGTTCCACCAAGTGTTTATCGTTTCCCACAGATAGAACAATCAGACAATTGTTGTAGGGCAGCTGTAGGATCTTCTTACAAACAACTGTCCTGGACTCTTCAAAAAAGTCAATGTCAAAAAAGAAAACAAAACCAAAAAAGGCTGGAGAGGGCAACTGTTTAGATAAAAAGAGACTAAAGACATAGCAACGACCGTAGTATGTGATCTTTGTATTCTGAATTTAAAAATATAAAAAATGAAACAGTCCCAAACTGGAATGACTTGGAGAAATTTTAATATACACTAGACATCAGCTAATACTGTTAAGCAACATTAAATTTTCTTGGGTGGATGCTGGTACCTTGGTGTCCTTAGGAGAATGTCCTTGCACTGACTTTCAGATGGTTCGGAAATAGAGAAAATGCAAATGTCACAAAATATTTACAATAACTTATTTACATGTGGGGTATAGAGGGGATCACCATACCATTCTTCCAACTCTTTTTAGGTTTCAAATTTTTCAAAATGAAAAAAAGAAAAATATTCTTGGGTTGGATTAAACAGAAGCTTAGTCATAGCCTATAAAACAAATAGACTGGAACAGAAGTCTAAAGAAATCACTCAGAATGCAGCAGAGCCAAAGAGAGAGAAAATATGAAAAAGAGATTGAAAGACAATACAAAATGAGAAGCTCTGGCCCAGGGTTTCCCAATGTTGGCACTACTAATATTTTATACTGGATAATTCCTTCTTGTAAGGTCCGTGTGCTATAGGATGTTTGGCAGCACGCGTGGCCTCCACCCAACAAAATGCCAGTAGCAGTCCCTGCTCAAACAAACTGTGACAACCAAGAATGTCTCTAGATATAACCAATGTCACTTGGGGGGGCAAAAACTGCCCCAGGCTAAGAACCTCTGCAATTAAACATCATCTGACTGGAGTTCCAGAAGAGTATAAAGAGAATAAGGAAATGCAACATCTGAAGAGGTAAAATAGTAGTGATACATATCACAGTGAAGAGGTATCAAGAAATACATACTGAAATACCAAAAACATCCAGAAAGACAAAATTCTCAAAATTAGACTTTTCAAAAGCAACAGGTATCAATAGAAATAGCACCAAGAGAAAACAGTTATCAACAGAATTATATATCAGACATAAATATCTTTCAAAACAAGAGCAACAAAATAAATGCAAACCTCAATTGACCACCAATAAACTTCTAGAAGCAACTTTTATTTTTTATTTTTTTAAGATTTTATTTATTTATTTATTTATTCATGAGACACACACACACACACAGAGTGGCAGAGGCAGAGACACAGGCAGAGGGAGAAGCAGGCTCCACGCAGGGAGCCCAACGTGGGACTCAATCCCAGGTCTCCAGGATCACACCCTGAGCTGAAGGGGGTGCTAAACTGCTGAGCCCCTCGGGCTGCCCTAGAAGCAACTTTTATATGATGTACTTTAGAAAGAAGAAAAATGGAAGGAGAGGGAAGGTAACAGTAAATACACTGGACAATCTGATGTTGCCTCCAGAGAGATAATTAAAGCTCACATTTATATGGCACTTTAAAAGTTCTTCACGAATACGCCACATCATCCTCTATTGTAAGACACTAACATAAAATATGCCATCAATTCAACTAAATGATTAAAAAATGGTAAGTCATTATCTTACAACTGACTGGTTTAAAAACTGTCTGAAATGAGGCATGTGCTACTTCAGAAAAGGTGAGAATGGGCAGCCCGGGTGGCTCAGCAGTTTAGCGCCACCTTCAGCCCAGGGCCTGATCCTGGAGACCCAGGATTGAGTCCCACGTCAGGCTCCCTGCATGGAGAGCTTGCTTCTCCCTCTGCCTGTGTCTCTGCCACCCCCACACCCCTGTGTCTCTCATGAAAAAATAAAAATCTTTAAAAAAAAGAAAAGGTGAAGATACTTCCATCAGGTACCCATGGTGGGGTCGACACCAAAGCTGAAATGTAAAGCCTATTTCTTTACACACACAATCCCAAGCTCTAATATTCCCATACCAAGTGGCCCTTCTGAGGACCTTGCAAGGCTCAGAATGGGGGCTCTGATCTATTTTGTGTACCTCAACAGTCCTCTCACAAATCCCAACAAGCCATACTGCCTCCTCTGCCTGAAAGCCCTTTTCTCCCCCAAAACCAAACTCACCCCCAAATCTGCAGGGCAAATGTCAAGTCTCGACCCTTCCAGCTTTACCAGCCCTTGGCGCCACATCCAGCTCAAATCCCAGCTGCATTTAAGACCAGTCAGTACCTCAAAGCTTAGTGGCCCACTGAAGTATGTTGTGCTGTCATGGTTTCCTCTCTCTGCCCTGGAGAGACTGGAAGCCCCTTAAAGATAAAAACCACCTAATTCGGGATCCCTGGGTGGCGCAGCGGTTTAGCGCCTGCCTTTGGCCCAGGGCACGATCCTGGGGACCCGGGATCGAATCCCACGTCGGGCTCCCGGTGCATGGAGCCTGCTTCTCCCTCTGCCTATGTCTCTGCCTCTCTCTCTCTTACTGTGTGCCTATCATAAATAAAAAAAAAAACCACCTAATTCCTGCCTTCTTCCTTTCTTTCCCCATCTCTTACACAGCCAGAAGAGTGCTAGGTAAAGTTACCCTTCAGGAAAATGGTCGCTGACTGATTTTCTTTCCCCCTCAAAAAAGATGTCATCCCCAAGATTTAATGAAGCCCTAGGCCAACAGAAATGTGTTTCCAACGTAAAGGAGACTGGAAAGAGATAAAGGACAAATTCTAGACACAGTGGAGACCCCTCCAAGGAGTTCATCCCCTCTTCTTTGGAGGTCAGCCAGGATAATTTGAATTTTAGGAGCATGGATTTTAGACACTCGATTGTTTTATTGCACATTAGTTTTTCAAACATACGTATAACCAATTTAGCTAAACAAAGACTAGTTAAGACACGAATTCAATTTGGCTTAAACATTAAGATCATTCTCTTGGGTAGATTTAAAAAATGAGAGAAAATGAGTACCTTGCCAGTTCCAGGAGGTCCTGCCAACAAGACAGCTCTTCCAGCCATTTTCTTGCTTTTGATTAATTCTACTATCACACCACATGCCTAGACACCACAATGGAAAGAAATAATAAATCAGTGTTAAAATGTTTCACATGGGGAAAAAGTCCAGTCTTTAGTCCAAACAACTCACATACTCATTTAGCCAGCATGAGTGCCTCTATGCTGCAGGCACTGTTCTAGGTGCAGATGGGCAGTGGATGACAAAAAGAAAGTCTTGTGGTCTGGTGGAAGGGGCACACACAAAAATACTGTAGAACTACTGTAAAGAAAAAAGGGTAATGATCTGGGGAAGCCTCTCTGAGGAAACTACATTTGGTATGTGAAGCTCTGGACAAAGGGGAAGAAGTGTTGCAGACAAAGGAAACAGCAAATTCAAAATGCAGGAATGAGCTTGGCAAATCCAAGGGACAAAAAGGTTGCAGTGACCAAAGCATAGACAAAAGGAGAATGGGAACATGAGCTTCAAGAGGCAGGCAGGGGCCAGGACTCAGAATAGTATTTTATTTAGTCCATAGTAAAGTTTGGATTTTAATCTACATGTAATGGGAAGCCACTGAAAAGGTCTTCGGCTTTGTGTTCCATGATGATTTCTTTTTAAAAACCTCGATGAGGGGATCCCTGGGTGGCTCAGCGGTTTAGCGCCTGCCTTCGGACCAGGGCGTCATTCTGGAGTCCCGGGATCGAGTCCCACATTGGGCTCCCTGCATGGAGCCTGCATCTCCCTCTGCCTGTGTCTCTGCCTCTGTCTCTGTGTCTCTCATGAATAAACAAATAAATAAATCTTTAAAAAAAAAAAAAAACCCCGATGGCACTGTGTGGAGAATGGTTGGTAGGGTTACAAATGGGAGCAGTGATTTCTAGCTTGGGGACAAGGGGTAGGCTCCAGGTGCCTACACACCTCCCAAGTCTGGGAATGAAATTGAAAACAAAATTGTGTATATAAGTGCCCTATAGGCATTTTTCCAGGGAGGAGTCACAGTTTTCATCAGATTCCCAAGTTAACTTATTAAGGGTTAAGAACTAAGGCATACACCACTAGTTGGCCATGGCACACGTGAGGTTAAACCTAGTGCACCAGTAAGATTAATTGAATGCCTTTTCGAATCCTCAAGAGTAAATTACTTGATGATTTGTTGTTATACCTTAAGTTCACGCTAACTCTCCAAATACTAAGCCATTTACAGCACATACACACACATATATATATATCTATAAATGTGTGTAGATGCAAATTCCATAAATGGGTTACTAATTTTTATATATTTTAGGATATTTAACTATAAAGAGTCACATTTAGTCAACACGTATATCTCAGGACTTCATGGTTTCTTAGATTGATTTAATAACCTAATATTGATCTTAGGGGAGGCCATAGCTCTTCTCTCTAGGTGGTGACAGGGTGTTGTGAACATATCCTATCTCCACTACCGCTACTTTCTTTGTACTGTGGAGAAGTACCCTGGTCACACACTTAGTCACTCCAAAAATGTGAGTTCAAAGAATGCGTGTAGATGGGCTACATTCCATTTTTGGCTCAGTTGGAAAAGCACAGTGCCCTGAAGAGAGCCCAGAAGCTATTCAGATGCTGCATTTCTAAGAAAATAGAGCCACCCACTATGGTCTTCCCATAGAACCTTGTGATGTCATAATCCTGAGCACTCTTTGGGAAGAAACTTTCCAAACCATGGTTATGTACTAGAACCTCTTCCATTTACTCTCCCTCAGTTTAAGCTCCAAATTCTCCTCAGTGATTTATGTTCGGTTGAATTCTAAAATTTAAAAAGAACTAGAAAGGCCTTTAAAAGATCACCTAGTCTAATTCTCTCATTTTTCAGGTAAGAGGATATTAAGCACCAGGGAGACAGACTGCTGATGTGATCAGTCATGCAAGGACCTGGAAGCTGCAGTAGGATGCCTATTAATTCAATAAATGAACAAATACTGAGCCCTGATAATGAGTGAAGTTTGGTGTATATAATCATATTTAACCACCTCTATTGTCAGGAAGCTCATATTCATAAGGAGGCATAAAGCATCAGAGTTAAAAACATGCATTCTGGAATCAGACAGGCTGGGGTTTAAATCCTGTCTCTATCACTATCCTGAGTGACCTTGACCTACTCACTTAACCTCTGTGAATCAAATCACCTCCTCTGAAAACACTGTTCATAATAGTGGCACGCATGCTAAATAAAAGAGTTTAAGGTGAAGTGTACTACTGTCTGCAACTTACTTTGGTTTTTTTTGTTTGTTTGTTTTTAAAGATTTTATTTATTTATTCATGAGAGACCCAGAGAGAGGCAGAGACACAGGCAGAGGGAGAAGCAGGCTCCATGCAGGGAGCCCGATGTGGGACTCGATCCTGGGTTCCAGGATCACGTCCTGGCCTGAAGGCAGGTGCTAAACCGCTGAGCCAACCGGGCTGCCCTGGAACTTACTTTGAAAGTCTAAAGTGCATTGGTGGATGGATAAATGAGATGTAGGACAAACCAACAGAGATGTTCATTGTAGAATTCAGGCACACAGGTACTGGCTATACAAGTCTTTTACCTTTTTTGTACATCTGAAAAGGCAGAGTAAAGTAGGCGACAATTACTAGTGTGGAAGTGAAAACAAGGAAACCGAGATAAAGCTGCCTGGCACATAGCAAGCACTCAGCCAGTGTCCGCTATTTTCAGTAACAGGTTCTTGGTAAACAGAAGGTGGATGAAAAGAAATTTCAAAGTCCCCTGAGCCTGCCAATAGTTTCCATTTTGGGAAAATGATACTCAAAATAGAAACCAGAGGCTTTTCTTTGGCCCTTTCATTTAGCACAACCAAGCTAGGAGGCAATAGACTTAAACTGGTATTATGTGCAGGTCTCTGTAGCTAACGAGCCAGGGCAAGGCCAAGGGCAAGGGCAAGGGCAGGGATCTGACGTTAGAGCACAGCAGGCTGAAAAGTGGCCGTACTATCAGAGAGAGAGCACTGATTTGAGAGCCAGGAATACATGTGTGTACAAATCCCAGCACGATCAATACTAAACTGAGTGGCAAGTAGTAGGTAAGTGATCTCTCCCACCCTCAATTTTTTTCATCTGCAAAATAGCATACAAAGAGCTTGAATAGCTTCGTGATTATAATGTAGGTGAAATGACTTGCATCACTGCCACTTAAGTGGACCTAAAAAAAAATTTTTTTTTAAAGTAAAAAAAAAAAAAAAGAAAAAAAAGAAACGTGGACCTGCGGGCTCCCGGGTGGCTCAGGGGTTGAGCGTCTGCCTTTGGCTCAGGGCGTGATCCCGGGGTCCTGGAATCGAGACCTGCGCATCGGGCTGCCCCGCAGGGAGCCTGCTTCTCCCTCTGCCTGTGTCTCTGCTTGCCTGTCTCTCGTGAATAAATAAGTAAAGTCTTTTAAAATAATAATATTTCTTAAAGAAAGAAAAGACAAGTGGATCCGACTGGAATGGTCAAAACGGATGCCGCGAGTGTGGTCTTCAGGACTCCCTCTTCCCTCCTTCAGCCCCAAGCCCTGGGAACCACGGTGATTTCCCTAAGGCTGCTCACCTCCCTACTTACAATCCCCGTAGCCACTCACTGCCTTCACGGAAATCCAGATTCCTTCCCGCGTCCGACAAAGCCCTGCAGGAACGATCTCCACCAAAATGCAGTGATTATTTTATTTGCTGGTTAAACGTTTGAGGTCTGACCAGTCCAACAGGCAAGCTCCACGAGAGCAGGGGCCTAACTAGCTTCTCGCCAGCCTCTCCCGGCGCCGCGAGGAGGGAGGCAGGCGGCCGACCGCCCGCGGCCGGCAGCACCCGTTCCCCCGAGCGGCCGCCCTCCGCGCCCCAGCGCGGGCCCCAGCGCGGGCCCCACCGCCCCACGGAGACGTCCGCCGACGTCCGCGCGCGCCTCCGCTCCCTGGACTCCCGACTCCCCGCCGGCCCGCCACACCTCTCGCGCGTTCTCCTGGCCCACGAGCCCCGAGGCCGCCTGCTTGGCCAGGCCGCTCTCGTCCAGCCCCAGCCCCTTCACGTGGCTGTGGGAGGCGATGCGCTGCGTCTTCGTGGTGCTCTTCACCTCCTCAATCTTCATGTTGCGGCCGCCGGGAGCCCAAACCAGCGAGGAGAACCGAGAGCCAGCGCCACACGCCCCGCACCCGGGTTACCATGCGGCTGTTACTAGGGCTCCTTGTCAAGGCCCGCCTTCCTCGGCGTTCCATTGGCGAGGGCGGGAACGCCTCCGCCCTCCATTGGCCCTTGGCTGCGCCCATCGAGGCTGCCGGTAGGGCTCCGCCCACTCACTTCCGGCTGTGTAGCGGGCTTGGCTTCCCCCGCAGCCGGCGCTTCCTGCTCGGCTCCAGGAGCGAGAATGCCAGGCGCCGCCTTCGGGGCTGGGACGCTGCACGAAAGGCGGGTCCTGGAGCCCGGCTCCTAGTCTGTTATCGCACTTGGGCGCCATACTCTCCCGAGGAGCTCGAATCATAACCTCCGCTTTGGAGATGGGGAAAAAAACCGGTCTACAGCTTAAGCTTTGATTTTTGCGCGCAAAGCAGTTTTCTGACGCCCAAGCCTCCTCGAGAGGCGCAGCTCGGCCAACCACTCCCACTCTGGCTCCCCGCGGGATGCTCCCTCGAACCGTTTCCTTCCCTTCTCCTGGCCTCCCCACCCCCTCTTTATTTAAATAAAGTTGACAGGGAATAGCACTTTAGGTTTCCGGAAACCTACCTCCCTGTAAGGTAGTACAAGTCCTAATACAGATGAAGATGCAGACCGAAGCCCAGTAACTTGCCCAAGAATAATCACATTCCTGCACATGGGATGATCAGCCGAACTGGAGAGCTTGGCGGAGGACTTACGGCTTCACAGCCTGTGTGATCCTCATCCCATCCCACACATCAGATGAGGTAGCCAGCGAATATGCCTTGTCCGATTCCATAATGATATCCACACTCCTTGTAACACGACGAACTCCCATCCACTCATTCAATAAACATTTGTTAGTACCTGCTCCGAGCCAGACACCACAAGGCACTACGTGTGACAAATCTGCAGAGTTGACAAGCGCTTAGTTAGGGAACTTGTAGCATGAGATGCTCAGGAACAGGTATACCTACCCAGTGTGCGGGCCCAGAGCAGGGCCACCAAAAACAGCCTGGAGAGCCACAGAAGACATCATGAGGAGATAACGCCAGTGCCGACTTCCTCGGGGGCACTTGGTATGTTACTAGTTTATGGACGAATCTAGAGAAAAGGAGGCACTTGTCTGAAGCTTAAGAGAACTGGAATCAGGTTTTTTTTTTTTTTAAAGATTTTATTTACTTATTCATAGAGACAGAGAGAGAGAGGCAGAGACACAGGCAGAGGGAGAAGCAGGCATCATACAGAGAGCCCGACGTGGGACTCGATCCAGGGTCCCCAGGATCACGCCCCGGGCTGCAGGCGGCGCTAAACCGCTGCGCCACCGGGGCTGCCCTGGAATCAGGTTTGAAACAGCCTCAAGTCAAATCCTACTGTAGTACTCTCTGACTCTCACATCTTGTACTTCTCCATTATTTTTGAATCTAGCTTTCTATTTGCAGGATTATTGGGTCAATGTTTGTCTCTCCCACAAAACTGCAGGCATTATGAGAGTGTAGACAACATTTGTATTCGCCGTTTTAACCCAAGTGCCTGGCACATAGCCTGGTTCACAATGAAGTCTTCTTATGAATTCAAATAAGATTCTATACCACCACATACACACTTCAGTCATGAAGTTTTGCTGCATGTATCTTAAACACTGGGTTTTATGGGACTTGGTAATGATTTCTGTCCGTGATTAGAAGGTCTTGGCATTTTCAGAGCATGAAAGAGCAGAGGCAAAGCCTTGGAAGGCTGACTTGGTTACTACTGGTGGCCTATGAATCATCAACCCAGGACACCAAGAAGATTGCCTAGCACCGCATTGACTTTTTCCCTGATTATTACCCGTAGGTAAGGAGCAATGCCTTTCACCCTGGAGAGGAAAAATCCTTTCCCCCATTAGGTGTCAAAGTGAGGCATTTTATTGGACTAATTGCTTTGTGTATTGTCCAGTTAGGAGAGAAGACCTTTTCTACATTTAGTATTTTAAGCCCCAGACTTTGGCACGAAAAGGATTTCCTTCCAGAGGAAATGGGGGGTGAAGGCTGGGGAATAAGGATTTTGAGGCCCTCAGAGAGGACGGAGTTTGTCCAAGATCAGAAATTGAGCAAATGCCTGACAAAGCCTAGACCCCACATCCAGTGGAGAAAGACAGGTGTGGTTGTAGAGCCGGACAGTTCCTTTAATTTCAATAGAAAACTATGCAGGAGGCTGGTGTCCAAGAAACACAAGGTGAGTAAAGGGTAGGTGAGGCCCACAGTAGTGGCCATATTTTGGCTACCCAGCATCCATCCTGCTGCTTCTAGCTACCATCAGTCTAATTTTCTTTAGAGAACCACCGTTCCCTGACTTTGAGTCTGAATCTATAGTCTAAGACTTTGAGTTTGGGTCTCTAAATTTCTTTAGAGAACTTTCCCTGACTTTGAGTCTGAGTGGATTGGATGGGTTGACCCTAACCCATAACTTTGTTTCAGGAATGGACATGGGCCTGACCTGGCCTATCAAAGTATCCCATGCCCACCCCCCTCCCCGAAAAAATGATGATTGGTTCAGAAATGTAAGCAGACAGACCAATGACACTGTGTCCTGGTACTTTTTTTGGAAACGCCAAGAAAAAGACTTGAGTCATGGGTTTCCAGGTCATCTTTGCCAGGTCATAGGAAGACTCTGCCTAGGAGTGAAGCCAACACAAAGGAAAAGAAAGCTGGCAGACATTTCTTTTTTTTTTTTTTTTAAGATTTTATTTATTTATTCATGAGAAAGAGAGAGAGAGAGAGAGAGAGAGAGAGAGAAACAGAGACACACACAGGCAGAGGGAGAAGCAGGCTCTGTGCAAGGAGCTCAATGTGGGACTCGATCCTGAATCTCCAGGATCACACCCCAGGCTGCAGGCGGTGCTAAACCACTGTGCCACCGGGGCTGCGCATGGCAGGTATTTCTAATGAAATCTTTTACATTCACAGATACATACAGCCTGGCCCTACTTGCATTGTAAATGGCACTGATATTGGGACTTAAAATAGTGTGTTAGGTTTCTATCCATGGGTACTAAAAATCCTTACCAATGCAATGACATATATACAAGTAATTGTGTGGACTGCCACATTCCAGCAGTGTGCTGTGCAACACTCCCCGACCTGCTATCTGTCTCATTCTCTCACTCCTATGACCCTTGCTCTTTCATCTCCAGTTCCGTGACTCCACGTTTCTCCAGTCCAAGCTTGGTCATTTCACCCACTTGTTTCTCAACCCCTTCTGCTGCTTCTTTGCTTTGGCTTCTTTCACACCTGACCTTTGAACTCACAAGTCCAGGTCAAGCCTACCTCTGCCTTCACCACTGCCTCATGTAGGCAAAATAAAGAGCCTAGCATTGAAGCCTCATTTATGTGATCAGGGGTGCCAAGACCATTCAATGGGCCAAAGGGAAGGAGCAGTCTCTTCTACAAATTGTGCTGAGAAAACTGGATATTCATGTGCAAAAGAAAGAAGTTGGTTCCATATCTTATACAATATACAAAAGTTAACTCAAAATGGGTCAAAAATTTCCACTGGGGAACTTAACCTAGAAATCTCTTAGAAGAGGGGCACCTGGGTGTCTCAGTCAGTTAAGTGTCTGCCTATGGCTCAGGTCATGATCCTCCCAGGTCTTGGAATCAAGTCCCATGTCAGGCTCCCTGCTCAGTGGGGATCCTGCTTCTTCCTCTCCCTCTGTCCCTTCCCACTCCCTTCCCCTACTTGAGCACTCGCTGTCTTTCAAATTAATAAATAAAACTGTAATAATAATAATAATAAAACTCTTAGGGACTCCTGGGTGGCTCAGCGGTTGGGCATCTGTCTTCAGCCCAGGGCATGATCCTGGAATCCTGGGATCGAGTCCCACATTGGGCTCCCTCCATGGAGCTTGCTTCTCTCTCTGCCTATGTCTCTGCCTTCTCTCTGTGCCTCTCGTAAATAAGTAAATAAAATCTTAAAAAAAAAAAAGAACTCTTAGAAGAAAACATAAGGGTAAATCTTCATAAACTTGAATCTGGCAATAGTTTCTCTTTTTTGTTATTAGAATTATTTATTTATTTTATACATAGAGAGAAAGCAGGGGGAGGGGCAGAGGGAGAGAGAAACTCTAAGCAGACTCTACACTGAGTGCAGAGCCTGACTTGGGGTTTGATTTCACGACCCTGAGATCATGACCTGAGCTGAAGCCAAGAATTGGATGCTCAACTGATTGTGCATCCAGGCGCCCCAGATTTGGCAATGCTTTCTTAAATTTGGCACCAAAGGCATACGCAACTAATGAAAAATTAGAGAAGTTGGACTTGATAAGAATTTAAAACTTTTGGGCATCCAGGATTCTCTCTCTCAACAAAGTAAAACAATAACCCACAAAATGGGAGAAAATATTTACAAATCGTATATTGGGAGAGAGTTTAATATCTAGGAAATATAAAAAGCTCCTACATCTCAACACAAAAAAATGAGCAACCCATTAAAAAATGAGCAAAATACTTGATAGACATGTCTCCAAAGAAGATATACATATGGCAAATAAACACATGAAAAGATGCTCAACATCGTTGGTCATCAGGAAAATACAAATCAAAACAGCACTGAAATACTACTTCACACCCATTAGGGTGGCT